TGCAAAGTTGCTCTGAAGCCCTTCTTTCAGCCTGGCAGCCCCAGATCACCTACCGCCTGCAGACCTGAGATGAAACAAACTCACAGTGTTATTATTCTGTCTTGTTGCCCGCTGTGAGCGCAGGAGCAGAAGAAGTCCAGTAAGCTGGAGGAGAGCATGAAGATGTTGGACTATGAGATGAAGAAGACCGATGACCTCCTATACAGGATGATTCCCAAGCCGGTGGCTAAAAGGCTGCGCAAAGGAGAGCCAGCTGTGAACACTTGTGAGGTCAGGGTTGTAGATAGTGCCTTATATTCTTTTCACCAGGATTCATAAAGGTGCAGTCAGCTATTCTAATCCAGTACACCTTTTCTCAAATTTAGTATCTGCTCACAGTCTACCAGGTGTTCTGTGTGTGCACTGAAAAAAAAATCCCATGTTCATACAGAGCCCTATTTGGTTGCTCCTCTGTAAATGGGAAACAAACAAAGTGGCCCAGACTGAGCCACACAACACTATTCCAGCTAATCCGCAACAGGGGGCCTTCGTGCTATTGCACAGGACATGGATGTATATAGAGAAAAGCAGTGGGAGCGAGATGGATGGTAAATCTGGCACATGCTAATGTGCTGAACTCCAGAGCAAATATCAATAATCTCCCTCCCGAATAGCCAACTCCACCTTTTAACAACAGAAGCAAGCGTTTCAGTCATCCAACATTTGCTGCTCTTTGAAACATGAGTCCAACATTGTGGGACATAAAATCATTCCCTTTCTTCTTGTGAGTTAGATGAGAGGACTGATATCACTTTTGTGGTTGTATGGTAAACATGAGACTACAGCAGCTGATCAGGTTAGCTTGACACAGAGACTGGGAACACAGGGGAACAGCTCTGTACAAAGGGAAGGGATGTAGCAGTGCTGTCAAGTGGGTTCTGCTACCTTTGGACAGAACCAGGCCAAGTGGCAACTAATGTGAAATGCCAATAACTGCAGTTCCTCTAATGGCCACTTGAGGCTGGCTTTAAAACTGAGCCAATCCCCATAGACCCCCATGTTAAAATGACCAACTTTACAGCAGAAATGAACGTGTTTACAGCCTGGTACAGAAACTGTTTTGACCTCTCTCTGTACAGAAGATCCATTTTTATATAATTCACCCGTTCAAATCTTTTTAAGGCTTAAATTTATGCAGAATTAAAGGCGTGGTTGTCTGCAAGGTGTTTCAACAGTCTGTGAGTCAGATCCACCCCTCGCTACTCAAGATCTCTACCCTCTTGTCCAATTATGGTCACTACTGGCTCCGAAATCCAAAATGGCACAGAATGCCAAACTCAAGGCTTCAAAACAGGAGTCCATAAACCAGTGGGTGACATTACGGTGGCTACATCGACTATTTTCATACAGTCAATGAGCCAGGCTAACTGTTTTCATGGGTAAGATCTTCCCCCAGTTTTCAGTCTTTTGGTTAAACTAAGTTGATCACCTGCTGGCTGTAGCTTCAATTTTATCATTCAGACATGAGAGACATACACAGACACATTAGCCTTCTCAAACAACTCCCTTTAACTCACATTCATGCACCAAATCACCTAAATGTTTGGCACAATTTTCTGATTAAAGGTTGAATGTTGTCTATCACAAGGTACAAACTAAGGTTTTTACTTGCCTAAAGCAGATGGTGGCTGACTGAGTACCTAAACACACAAACACCCACGCTGTATAAATCCTCTGAATTGTAACCATTGGAGACTTTTCGCCATAGTAAAATTCAGGTTGATGGAGTGCTGCTTCCTGATGGTGCATAACAGCCCGGGCCCATGAATACCTGCCTCCCCCACCTCTGTGTGTGTGTATGCAGAATATCAACCTGCCTGCTCATCAACTCTCTTATCTCTTCTCTCTCAGGTGTTCCCAGATGTGACCATTCTCTTCAGCGATGTCGTGGGATTTACTCGCATTTGCAGCCACATCACTCCAATGCAGGTGGTCTCTATGCTCAACACTATGTACACACTGTTTGACACGCTCAGCGAGAAGCACCGCGTCTTCAAGGTTTGTGTTAGTTTTCCCCACTGTTATCTGTTAAGTGCTGCCACGTGAGAGCTGCTCTTCCTGTCTTTTCCAGGTGGAGACGATTGGAGACGCCTACATGGTGGTAGCCGGGGCTCCGGAGAAGACAAAGTATCACGCTCACAACATCTGTGACATGGCCCTGGACATGGTGCGCTCCATTGATCACCTGAAGGACCCCTCGAATGGCAACAACATACAGATTCGTGTTGGTGGGTAGAACGTGTGTCGGCCTATTTGTGTGTTTATGTCGGTGAGCTAATGTGTTGTTGTGGTTGCAGGGATCCACTCTGGGATGGTGGTGGCAGGTGTGGTGGGACACAAGATGCCACGTTACGGTCTGCACGGTGACACGGTCCACACTGCGTCTGCCATGGAGAGCAACGGAAAGGTAGGAAAGCTCAATCCGTATGTCTACTATATTCATGATGACTACAGTGATTATGTGATTTTGTTGTAACTGCCTTGTTACCCTTTATTTCATTCAGGAGATGCACATTCAGCTAAGCAGCGCCACCTACGAGCACCTGAAAGGAAGTCATTTTATTTTCGAAAGGAGGGGCACCATTACCATCAAGGTTGGGGGTCAAAGCTGTTACCACAGCAACTACACCCACCTGATTATGTGCATTCACTCAGCCACTGTAACAATATGTATTTAATATGATTTGCTGTCAGATATATGAGCAACACACAGTGTTTCCCCTTCATGTTATCTGCACATTATACACGATCAACCTGAAGCTAAACATCGAAGCTTTTAAGTCTGTGTTAACGGCAGATTTGTGTATCAGCAGTCACACATTAGAAACAGTTCTGAATCTAAAAAATACATGAAATAATAATAACTCTCAATGTTTTGGCTCTGGGGACTCAGCACACTTAGCATTCAGAGCTGGTGATCGCAGCTTGCTTGTTGATTTGCCAGTCTATTTATCACTGAGTCTGACTTTGAGGCTGTACATTCAGTGATAATGCTGGCAAAGTGACTCCCAAAGGTTTCTAAGGCAGCTGATTACAGGCGGCAATCTCAAGGAAGCGAGAGCGACTCATTTTTCATCAGGGAATTCTGATTATTAAAAATCTGCCACCTGCCATTTTCCTCCCCTCCGTAACAGAAATTGTGCCTGTGAGCATGTCTTTGAATATTTGTGCATAAGTCAGGCACCTCTGTGTCCTTGAACCTCTGTATCACTTTTTTTCATCTCTGTCTGTTTTTAGGGGAATGTTGAAATTGAGACCTACTGGCTGAAAGGAAAGAGGGACAAAGACGGGAACGCTCAGGCGGCATGTCCTCAATTTGAGACTCAGACCATCAGCAAGGCCATCAGCAAGGCCAATATCTCAGGCCCTGAGGCCCCAGGAGATGAGGAGGGCCTGGTAAAAATTCAACCAAGACATACTTGAATGGCTTACACGCTCATTTGCTTCATTGCCACCATCATCATCATGATCATGATCTCTGATTCCCTGAGTCTCCATCTGCCTTTGCCCCCAGGTGTTCCCACTGGTGGCGGGAGAGGACGAGGATGATGTCAAGTCTATTCGCTCTCATCGTATCAAGATGGAGATTTCAGGTCATTCTCTGGAGGAGTCGATGGAGGAGTGCCGGATGGAGGAGATGTCCGTTAATAAGGTGGGAGGTATTACCTGGTGGCAGGATATCTAGATTGTTAGACTTTTAATAACTCCGATTTAGATATACTATGCGGGATTGTCTGTTGCCATCTCCTCCTATTAGCTGTTAGTGCTGTTGTACACGTGCTGTTTTGTTAACCATGCACAAAACTGAACTGTTCCTTCCCCAGTCCCACTTAAAGGATGCTTTGCAGGACGGCCTTCAGGACCCTCACCTGGAACTGGACTCACCTGTGTCTGACGGCAGAGACTCCATCATGGACTCCCGTGCCAGCTCCTGCGACTCCCGCTGCTCCAAGAGTGCCACGTGCTCCGTGTCATGAACCAGACAGGTGCTAGCTGATGCTATAGGCAGGGAATTTATTTGTGTGACTGTTTCTAAACCGCTGTTTGTACAGCTCAGTAAATGTTACACCAGACAGGGATGTCATTTTTGCTGTTATTTTGGCACTCTTGTGGTGATGCCTTGACAGTCTCTCATGGTGTATTGTTACATGGCCTAGACTGTAATGCTTGATATTTCTAGTGGCCTTGTGTGGTGTTATGTTGCTCAGCAAAAAACATCAGGTCTTATTTAGTTCAGAGAACACAAAAATAAATCGCAGCTATCAGTGTGAAAATCACACTCAGATCAATTAGCAGAGTAGTCTCCTCTTTAATTAATACCTCACATCTGGTGATTCAAGGCTAAAACTTTGTACCCACTGTATAACATGATTTAATACCAAAAAGTGGTCACTGCCACGCGGTTCAGCTGCACACCAGCTCAGTAATTTCCTGTTTGTTCTGCTGCACCTTGTAGATTTGACATCTTATTTTATCCTTTGGATAAATCCCTCTGTATCTCTCCTCTGTCCCTCTCCCTCCTCCCTCCTTCATCCTGCACGTCTGGATTCATTGTTCTATATCAGTCTTGTCAAACACACAGCCACGGCACAATGTAAACGCTTGTCAGCTCAGTGAAAATAAAGCAAGATGACTGCTGAGCCGTGCGTGGATCCGTTTGTTATTGTTTGTCTCATCACTCAAAGGCATTGGCATTCAGACTTGCATTTACATTTATTTTACAGTTTTTTTATTGAAGACATTTCTTCGTGGACATGTTTTTATTGTGTCTGTGTGTGCTCATGTGGCGTGCATGCATGTGTACCTGCAGGAAACCAAGCACACAATCTTTTTATGCCCTTGTATTTTAGCGTCAAAATGCATCACAGCTGTGTTTTTGGTGGTTATGTTGTTTGAACAACCCTACTACCGTCATCAATCAAACACAGGGACAAATCACATAGCAAGACATGGCAAATCAATAAGCTCAAACAGCTCAAATTTAATGCTTTGGTTTAAGAAAGGTATAATTACTCTCTGCGTTACACTGCTGTGACATCCAAACATGGCACCATAACAAGAACACAAATACATTGATAGTCACATATCAGTCATCCTGGCCTAGTGTCCCCATTCAGACAATGTTCCCCACTGACTGGTTATCAGAGGAGCTGCACTTATAGGTGGCGTCCTCACGGTCTAGGCTGCATCTGTTGGCTGTGCGTGAGTCTTTAGGCAAAGAACCGATGGAGCAATGGAAACAGAAGGCGTAGAAGAAGGCAAGCAGGAGCAGGAAGCAGACAACGCAAAAAATGACCACAATCAGGATGGTGTGCACCTGCATGTGCACCTCCTCCCATGGGAGCGGTGTGGTGGTGGTCAGGAGGCTGGAGGTCGTCAGGGTTGCATTAGGCTTCATGGAGGGCAGGTGGGCGACTTCCGGCATGATGGGAAGCCTGGGTGGCTTGAGGATATTTTGTTTCAGCTTCAAGGAGACAGTTGGATTTGCATGCACAGATAAACACGGACAGTAATGAGAAACAGAAGTTATTTTAATTCAAGTGGAGTTAATTATATCAAATGATGAATCAGCCTGCTGAAAACTACAGAGAGCACGGGCATAAAAATAATGACTTTGAATGATTTTCACATTCTTAAACCAAGCCAGGACAATGATAAGCCAAAAAGAACATTATTAATCAACTTCCAAATATGCTCAATTAACCTGCTGCTTTTAAGCAGGTTAATCATCTCTCTCACCGACAAGCAAACACAGACGTGGCTTTTGTTCCTACCTGGAATGTGTTGTCGTCCTGAGCAGGCTTTCTTTTGATGAGCGGAGCTTGGGAAAATGAAAGAAATGGAGGATAAGAGAGGGAGGGCTGGATTGAAGAAGTGAGGTGGCTGGTGGACCAGGAATAACAGGCAGGGTTTCCATGGCAACACTAGCTGAGGGGCCACTTGAATGGAAGTGACATCACAACACCTTAGGATTGTGTTTTGAAAGTGTACAAATGGGAGATATTAGGAGGTATTAACAGATGACAGTAAAATTACTTTGAAAAATGTACAGAATTAAAACCACAATATGAACATCTAAATCACCTGTTGTTTATATAGCTTATAGATAGGGAACAGAATTTACCTGCTCTATTAAATCCTGATTTCTGGAACAAAATAAATGAAATTAGAGTGTGTCAGATCACTTATTTGTAGAGAGCAAAAGCCTCGTCATTAGCCCTGAGATGAGTCAGGCTCTCTAATACTGCCCCCTGTTGGTAGAAGAGGCAGCAGTGAGCAACACACTGCAGACTGCAGCCTCACCTCCCCACCAGCTCAGCTCCTGTGCCGTCTGGTCTCTTTCAAACAGCCATAATGATCCTTTAGTACAAGTTGTAATTGGTCCTGCACCCCCCGTTGTGCTCGCTCAACAGGAGCTGATGCCTAAAAAATGTTTTAGGACTTGCACCAAATTTTAGTTGCCATGGAGATAACTCAATATTCACTAATTTTTAGCAAGTAAACCAGAGTGCTGTTTTTCCTTTATTTATTTTTTTTCCAAAGCCACTCATAAATACCAGACAAAAGACAAGAAAAAAATATTCATTAGCATAATTTCATGTAGAGGAGGACACGGAACAAAGCCCGCCAGCTGATGTGATTTTAGAGTGCTTTCAGATGGTTAATTACAGCTCCAGACAATAGAAACAAAAAGATCCATTAAATCCAACTGCAGCTGAGTAGAGCCAAAATGGCTGAATGGAGGACTTACACACCAAGGTCAGTGTAAAGGACAAATATGTGAGGGAAGACCTCAGGGCTGTGCGGGCCTTTAAGTCTGGGGGGGAGGTTTCTGTCTGCTGTCGTCCCAGTGGAGATGAACCGTATGTGGGTAAAGACTGAAATCAATGATCTGCACAATCTCTGCTGCAGGTCTCAGAACAGAAGGTGAAGAGGGATTTTACCTCAAAGTAGCTCACACAAAGTAGGCTATTTGTATCTCTGCTGGGAGAACGAGCCAGTGCTCACAGCTAGACATTAGACGTGTCATATGGCCAACTACCTCTGTGAGGAGGGATCCAGACAGTTCTAACGTCGCTGCCAGAGAGACTGCACGCTATGTAATAGTCCCGGAATTTACATATAAAACAAACATTTTGAGAAAAAGTCTCTCTGATGCAAATTAGTCAGCCTCTCTGCGTGTAATTTGCTGCACTGTTTGCTCTGCTGTGCCTTGAAGATTTGATATCTTGTTCTGCCATGCAAGTGTTTAATTGTGAACTCTCGTCTCTCTCACTCTCGCTCTTTCAATTAGTCTCTCCCTCACTGTACAATGTAAGTGCTTGTCATCGTGGTGTGGAAATAAACTAAGTTGACAGCTGAGCAGGAGTGGATTGGCTTGTTATTGTTCCTCTTGTCACTCATGGAAGTGCTGACATTTACAGTCACATTCACGTTTCCACTGGCAGCTTTTTACAACTATCATTTGACCATTAATATCTTGTTTGTTTGTGCGTGTATGTGGACAGAGAATTTGATTACTGATGTCTACATAGGAGTTGAAAACAAGAAAACAACATAGCAGAAATGACTAAGCATTTTATTGTCAAAAACCTCAAAACACACACTTTACACTCACACTGAACTGGTGCCTATGTAACTGACAAACCCCAACACTTCTACATGGCTACACACTCAGCTTGGTTTTCTCAGTGTTTCAGAAAGCACACAGATTCACCAGACAAGGACCCGTGGGATAGGGGGGACAACAACACACATTACTTAGGACAGAACAATGATTAATAAGTGGCTAATTCACTTATCGTAGCTAAAAACTGTCTTTACAGTAGCTACATTTGCAAAATATTCATAAAAATGACAAAAATTGTAAAAACAAAATTATTATTAGAATCTGTGAGGGGGCAGGATCTGTCATAGGTGAGGTGTGTCGACATTAAATGAAGTGACATGTTTTTAATCCCTTATGTGATGCTGGTTCTCGGTTTGACTCTGGTCAGTGTTGTCTGTGTTGCTCTGTCACTTCTTCTTATTCACAATGTTGTTGCAAATCCAGTTCATGCCATCCTGTCAGGGAAATAAAACAGTATGAATCAGTGTCATATTCAAAGATAAAAAATAAACCATCAAACTAAGCAAGTCAAAGAGGTTGCTGGTAGAAATATGGTCTCCATTAAAGCTGTTAAGACTGATTTTCAGCACACTATTGTACAGCAGGAAGGAGCACTTTTATTTGGTTAATTAGGTTCCATGTGAGGAAAAATCAATAAATCAAGGTTGGCTCTAGGTCTGACCTGAACTCCCTCTCCAGACACAGCTGAGCAGGCCTGAATCTGCCACTCACGGTCCCTGTACGTATGAAGGTTGAGTCCCTCGGCGATCTCACTGGCCGGTGACGCTGTGGCCAGGTCCTGCTTATTGGCAAAGATGAGCACTGGAACGCCCTTTAGATTCTCCTCATCAATCAGCTCGGACAGCTCCTGTACATACAATCACATGGAAATGTTAATGATTAAAAAAAAGAGATAAAACAACAACTATCATATATTAACTTGAGGTAGTTTTAATATGATTCTTGTCAGAAATGACATCAAGCTCACCAGCCCCGTCTCCTCAAACCGCTTCTTGTCCGCGCTGTCAATAACATAAATCTGAAATAACAAAAGTGCTTATGTAAATACATGTGATAAATATATGCAGATATGTAAAATTCGCTGACAAGCAAACAGAAAATTCATGGACAAAAGTTTTCTTTTTGGCCTCGACGCTTTAAACTCCTGAAGGTGTCAGTGACTCTCTCAGTACACAGCTGCTGCTCTTGTACGGCAGCCAAAAAGTCAATGTTAATTGAGAACAGGAGTCACACTTGTCAACCTCTCAAAAATGTTCCACAACATTAGAGTTCTGCCAACAAGCTCCGTCATCAAGATACAATTACACTGCTTAATTTGTGCATATATGTGATACGTAAATGTCATGGATATTTATTGCTTCATATTCTTTTTGTGGTGTATTCTCAGTGATCAGTCAGGACTCCCGGGTGACACACAACCACTTTGTAAACACTAATTTGGATCCAAGAGGAGAATAAAGTAAATGTCTCCCTGGGGAAGATTTTAATTGATTTGAATTAAGTTCAGTGACTCACCAACAGGTCTGTGTTTTCCAGGTACTTTTTCCAGAAGGGCCTGATCTTCCTCTGTCCTCCAATGTCCCAGACGTTGAGTTTCATGCCATGAGAGGCAACACTCTTTATGTTGAAGCCCTGGAGTGAAGCACAAAGCTGGAGTCACTGCACTGCACATCACTGCCTTCAATTTAACACAGTTCCAGTACGCAGCACCTGGAAAGCCTTGCAAATGCTTATGAAGCAATTCATTTAGCTGCGAGGCACTAGAGCACAGGTGCGTGTGTTAAATGAATCACTGTTTGGTTACTCTGTAATGTAACCTTGTTACATATCAGCAGGAGAGCAACATGTGCTCTGAGCACTCCTAAGGAAGTGGTCACTGTGTTAATCCGCCGCCGTTTTTTTCGCAACGCGGCTCCTTTCTACTGCAGTCGGCGAGGTTGTATAACAACTTTATCCTGAGGGCCAGCTGAGGAGCAAATCTGAGGATAAGACTGGAAGGATCAAGTGCAGTGTATGTGTTTATGTGTCAAGTCTGGTTTAGCTTTGTGTTGACTTGTCATGCTGGACTGCATCCTCTCCGCCTGATGTCTGATGAGCTGTCACACTTGTCCAGGACCTGGCACTACATCTGCTCTATGTCTTGCCTTGTGAGAGTAATGCAAGGGTATTAGATAATAATATTAGAGGTTAGATAGTCACATGACAAGAGGGTGATAAAAAAAAGAAAGGCCTCACTACAACGTTAGGATCCTCTCAGAAAATATGTGGAGAACAAATCGGGACGGTCGTTTCCTGCTGAAAGGTTATTTAACATACGACTTAACGGGATGACTGGACATCCTCAAATCATTATTTTACTGATTGATGGTAAAAGCATGTGTACTGTAAGGCCAATTGTTTTTATTTCACGGCGTGTCAGAAAAGCAAAGGTCGTCTAAATCACATTACTTTGAGCGACAGCGTGCACTGGTCCAGCTGGTCTCACAAGATTAGATACAATCCCCCTGCCTTTTACAATGCTGCGTTACAGCACCATGAAAATACAGAATATCTTTTGGAAAGTGTGAATTAAACGAGATAAATCCATCAGTGTATGGCTGCTTTTGCAAAAGGAATTAATCACAGTGGGCAAATTATCTTTAAAGAGTGGCAACTTGGGGGTTATCATAATGTTGGTGGCATATTTCTGGCAGATGCACACTGTTTATCTAAAATACACCTTATAATGAACATCAGGTGAGAACAGTATAAAGTGGCTCAGCTGTTCACATCATATCATATGCAAGCGACACTTCTTGCCTTATTATGCTGTACACTAAGTGACGTTCCTTCAGGTCACAATGTGTTTGTGTGAGTTTTAACATCTAACTTCCTCTCACCTGCGTCGGTGTGATGGTGTTCACATCTTCAGAGGCGAGGCTCTTCAGCAGGGTGGTCTTGCCAGCGTTGTCCAGCCCCAGAAGCACTATCCTGACCTCCTGCTCTGTGGATCCCTTCAGTTTCTCAATGACAGAGAGTAAGCCCTGCGTGTGGGAAGGAGGGTGGGATGTGGAGGGAGAGGACAGGTCATAAACTTATTGCTGCATTAACACAGCATCCTTTATTGTTTGTGAAGCATCTCCTGTGGAAGTCGACCTGGTTTACAGTGGTTTACAATACAAAAGCATGTGAGTGCCCGTCTATTTATAACATTATATTTTTGAAGGGGTGCAACGTTTCTTTGACACACTCTGGAACATCCAACATCGTATCGGGAGATATATATAAAAATGCAAACATAGTTTTCAGGCGTACTTTACACTTCTACACTGATCCCACTGACCTCTTTCTGATTTGAGGTCAAAGCTCCAGTTACATACAACACTGCTGACCACACTTGCGTGCCTATTTTGCTCCACCCACCAATCTCCAGCCCTCCTTCTCTTCCTACTGTATAGCTCTCACCTCTCTTCTGTAAAAAAAATTAATCTGTTCCTTCATTTAGAAAAGCACTGGTTTTGATTAGAGCTCCATTCATATAATGGTGCACTGTTTAATGTGATTAGTCTGAAGCGAGGTTGCGCAATCGCAGACTGACACACTGCTGACAAAAGATGCGCTGTAGCTTTAAATATTTCATTCAAGGTGACAGGTAGCTACTACAGTGTACGTGTGATTAAGTGTAAATCAAAGAGCAGTAGAGGTTCAGTTTAGATGTATAGTCATTATATCAGCAGTGTATCAGCAGAGCAATTTAGAGAATCCAACCGTCTCAGCAGAGCCGCATCTTAACATCTACTAAATAATGTAAAACAGCTATTTGTACACACTTTTGGAGCCATAACTACCTGTAAATAGTTCCTTGTATCAAACAAATACTGAAGGTTCACATTTGGGTTTATAAGTCCTGTTCCTCCAGATCAGGTCACTTACCTTTTGAGCTTCTCCCATGGTGGCGTATATCCTGTGGCTTGGCTGGAGGGCTGCAGCTACATTCTCCAGTGAAGCTCCCACAGGTGTGTTAGCTATCCAGGTCACCCAGGTTAGCTATCCAGAAAAGCTTCCAGCAGCCTCCGTCTTCTCCTTCTTCCTCCTCTGTAAACTTGAGTGGGTTAAGTGCTATGTGTGTATGTGATAGTAATGTCTACCTGGGCGTCAATTGCTCCTCACTGTCGCCGTGGAGTTAGCAAGCAGGAAGAGGGGGAGGGTGGATGGGACTGGGATTAGGAGGCCCGAATTAGCCCTAGTCATCCATGCAAAGGCCCCCCCCCCCCCCCCCCCATCCATCCCTCCATCTCCACTTTGCAGTGGCTTTACCTGGATTATCCCTTAGCCACCTGCTATAGGAGGAAACTGAATAAACAGTCCTTCCTGACACACTATCAAACACGGATATTATGAAGAGAAAAACAGATAAAAGTTCAGACATGTTGCCAAATGGCTGAGGGGGGAAACCTGCTGTTAATGCAGAGAAACAAAGGCACTGTGAGCAGCATGAGGAGTGACAGTGTGCACAGAGCTTAACACACGAACTCCAGAGGATTATATCATGTTGTTGAACCACCAAACTTATTATTTCTGTGTTCATAAATCAACTCTCAAATCCCACATCCATCCCTCTCTTGGAGAGGAATAGATAGCATTATCATCCCATATATCCATTACATGCCTGCTGCTGTAAAGCTGCTCTGTGTGGGTTGTCTGTAGTGTGTGCGTTCCTGTGAGTAGAGCATTCAGTGGGATTAGTTTGAGCGCGCCTGTCCTGTGTCTGGATTATAACGTTTCTAGACTCTTTTCCTCAACTGAGCAGGCTTTCTGGTGGGCGTGGTTAACATTAATGCTGCGTTGAACGAAGGATCCACCCTGATCTGGAAATGGCTATACATAAGCTCGTAACCTCAGCTGATCACACACACGTAGCCTCAGAGACAGAGATTAAAGACAGTTTATTTCTATATTACATTAAATCACAGCAAATTATGAAACAATACAGCAGAATTCTCTTAATTTTTTCTTATATTTTCTCTTAGTTTTCAGTCAAGAGAAGAAATATGAGATGACAAATCCAGATGCATAAAACATTTTTAGCCATCCGAATTTGCTCTTACCCAGGTGGTGACTGATGAATCCCAAATGATCATAAGTAACCTAGTAGCACAGGTAACACCCCTTAAACCCTCCATAAGGGTAGGTGTCGTGCTGTGTTCAAAGACTTCGGCACATGCCCAAGAACTGGGGAGATGCCTTCTGCAGTTGTAAAATTACCGTACTATTAATTAACTTGTGATTTTCCAAGGTGTCAGACCTGTCGGCTGCCACTGGCTACTGGAGTAACTTACAGCTATGGAGCGCTTCTATCATCTCTTCTAGTTACTGAGCCTCGCCACCATTTCAGCAAATATATTACAAAAATGTAGCCTCGCGGGCTGCCCGCGAGGCTACATTTTACAATGCTAATTGAAAATGTTAGCTGGGCTGCCGGGCTAACTTACTCACTTAACACAACCGTAACGCCTGACCCATTGCTGGGACCGAGCCGCTAATAACTCAAGCTCCGGACATTAACCCATCCCGGTGTTTCCTCCGCAGCCTCCACTTCACCCAGCTTCACTCAGCTGCCCAATAAACCCGCTGATTCTTCCCACATTAACCTGAATAACAAACCAGGGCTTGGTGCTCCGGTTGGATCCAAACAGAGAGCTAGTTGGGAAGCTAGCAGAGGCTAACTGGCTGTGCTTCCCTCCGATCATGCTGCGGCTAACGCCTCGCCAGCCGCTCCCAGCTAGCTCCGGATTGTCATTGAGGTTAAAGTGGGAGAGGCCATTTCATTTCGAAAATATGCGCTGCCATTGCTCACTGGCTGTAGCCTTTTATAGGGAGGGAGGGCCAAGGGNAACACAGAGAGAGGGTGTGTGAGGTCATGCTATACTCCAGATGAAATTACACCTGTAGTTCTTCACATAGCAATTTTTTAATTCCTTCAATCTAGAAATGATGAATTTCGCTTATTGCTCCTTTAAGTTACAAATATGTCAGTACAATCAGGAAAATGTATTTACATACTTAAAGTAAAAGTAATCATTGTAGAACATTTTATATAAATGTAATCAATCAAAAATAATTAGAATTTTTTTTTTTTTAATAAAAGCAGAAACTGGAACCATGAACTATTTTTTTTGCATGAAATTTGTCTTAAAAGATCGTCAAAAAGGTTGCCAATTAATTTTCTAGCCAATCGAATAATCGTTCCAGCTGCACTTCTAGTTGTTATATTGTTTGTGTGCAAAAATCTTGACCTGTAAAGTAACTACAGTTATCAGATAATTGTAGTGGAGTAAAAAAGAATAATATTTCCCTCAGATGTGTGTAGTAGAAATAGAAAGTGGCATGAGATTAAAATACTCAAGTGAAGTAAAACTACCTCTAATTCGTACTTAAGTACAGAACTTGAGTAAATGCTTAAATGTATGTTACATTTCAGCACTGGTCAGCAGAGGGTCACGCAGTAACTGAAATTACAGTAATGGTGATGAGTGGACTAAGTATTGTAGTATTTCTTTAGCATATAAATTTAGTAATATAATAATATTAATTAAAACATAATAATCTACATTTCTTGGTAAGAGTGCCACACGTAAAATTGTCTCACCTGAGAGAAGAGCAAAAATAATAAAACATTGGTGAATCCCAGAAATAAATGGTCACTGAGAAAACATGAACAAATCATGGATGCCAAAGAAACCTCATGTTTTGCCCAGAATCACTATCAATGAGTTTTGAAGGTGATCGGCTGTTTTTTTTTTTAGGACTCTCTTGGTGTGAACGGAGCTGGAACCCTGCTCTGCTCGTCCTTTGCCTTCTGCCTCGCCCTGTCTCTGTGTTTAGCTGCAGAGTGAGAGAGAGAGAGGAGGTGTCATACTTCATAATGCACACAGAGAGAAGTCAAATCTGTAATTCTTTTAAGGTAGCAATTTGACAACCTGGCGAATATGTTTGTTTGCTTTCCTGTAAAGATAAGAGGATCGAAAGCACTGTCATGCCTGTATGCAAAATATGTAGCTGCCAGTTAGCTTAGCTTAGCATAAAGGGGGAGAGAATGAGCCAAAGTCCACCTACCAGCATCTTAAAATTTCACGATATAGCTCCTTTGTTTTACCGTCACAAAGTACAAAAACTCAAAACCACTCAATAGTTTGCTCAGTGGTGAGGAGTGAATTGAGATTTTGGACACTTATCAATCATCGTCATTTTTTGTTGGCATCACTGACAGCTGTAGAGTGGCACAAATGGAAAATTTCTGGACTTCTGGACACCACACTTGCAGACTCACAGACTTTGCGGGCTTGTTCCCATGAAGTCTGAGAGTGCTGAGGATGGGCCAAATCTAATGCAACACAGACGTGACATAGTTTTTTTTCAGCTGCCAACTAAAAACACTAAACAACCTTATTATCGATGTGTAAAAACAACTGCTGTATTAAAATAGTACTTAAATCATGTGGGCCAAAAATAAGATTCAGCCACATCATGATACAGAGTATAAGCTCCACTGCAACGAGAGAAATAGACCTGGGGCCTTGCAATCTTGGGCCCACAGAGACTTGACGTGACGACAGTGAACACATCACAGTACATATGACTAAAGTCCAAGAGGACTCAGTCCAGGATGCCAGAGTGTGGACATTTGGATTGAGCCCGCAGAATGTGATGCATGACAAATGGATACATTTTCACAATTGAGACACTCAAATGAAATGGTGGACAGTTAATATGGTACACTATAAAGTAAATGTGGAGTAATATTGGGCACAGCCTAATTCTTGGCAAGTGGTAGTAACATCTAAGAGTCTCTGTTGGTTGCATGACAACTGCTCCTGTCCAAGAGATATGAAACCACCTGTAACACTAGCCATTTTGTTTCTTCAGTTTTTGTACGGATTAAACAAACCACATATAACATGTTAGTAATGAGTGAGCTTTAGTGGTTCTGGTGAGGGACAGAGCCAGGCTAGCTGTTTACACCTTTGTATGGTTTTGCTTGCAGCCAATCACCACACGTGTTCTACTACAGCAGCAGCAACAACCCATACAATCCGTGGCTTGATGAAGTCGAGCGTGGTGCATTTAACAGAGTTGGCAGTTCAGAGAGATGGCAACAAAACATTGGAAAGTATGGCTATACTACACGCCTGTAACATCTGGTGGCATGATGGGTTTCTATAAAAATAGAACAAATGCTATAAATGAAGTACTCTATTGGTACCAGTATCACTTTAACAATACTGGTGGTAGTGTTTTCATTTAAAACAATATCCAGACCTAATCGTGAATTATTAAACACACACTGAAATCAAGTGTTAATTTATACAGATGCATAAGCAGCCTGTCTTTAAAATACCTGCTCAGGTGTATGTCACTTGTGAAACCGGTTTCATCGGCCATCATCATCATTTGCATTCAAGGTGATGCATCTAAGACAGAGGAGGTGCCTTGGACCCCTGTGTTATCTAATATTACAGATCAACCACAAATGAGCTCTTACCGTTGTCTCTTTTCAGCTTGAACTTTATGGCCAGCCCCAAAATCACGACCAGGGCCAAGGCGGAAACACCACAGATCACCAGGAGCACCACAGTGTTGTCTGGATGGGGACACAATGACAAATACAGAGACATACACAGGCATTAAAAACACATTCTCTCAGGGGTCACTGAGGAGTGGTTTTATTATTCATATCTCTATAAAAATGTTTCAGCTCTTTTGTTTTCAATTCAGGAATTGTACAGTGGGCTGGTTCAGGTGCTAAAATCCACATTACACAGGCACATGTAATCTGTGGCTGTGTGAAATAAGCAGGGAGATGTCTACTTACTGTTTACAGTGACATCATGTGGCGAAGACTCGTATATGCCACACCGGCTGCCCACAAAGCAGGTGTACTTTCCTGCTTTGTTTGACAACACCTTTTTGAGAGACAGCTCAGTTTTATTTATTCCGTCCTTGACTGTCTTCCCATTCCTCTTCCACCCAAACTTCAGAGTCAAATTGGGAAGGTTGTGTGTGCATGAGAGGTCGATGTCTTCGCCCTCTTCTACCTTGGATTTATTGCTTTTGATGGAAACCTGAAAGTCTGATGGGCAGGGTAAATATTTGAGGGGAGGGAAGCAAATGTATCAGCGTTAGGTAATCAGATGGTCATCACTCTGTGTGTGCACTGCCACAGATGGGGGCGTTGTTCCAGGTTACCTTTTTTGCAGTTCTCTGGAATAGCTGAAGCTTCTAGAGAGAACAGCAGAAACAGAGCCTATATGACACATCCCGTTTATTTTAAGATAAAAAATAAAGTTCTTTTTGAGAATATTTATTCACCCACTCTAACTTATTTACACAGCAATAAGAACAATCAAATTTATAGGCATTTGCATTATTTTTCATGTTTGCCATGTTCGATTAACCCCACTGTGCCATCACACGCCAACGTCAATTGCTGCATCTAATATACCATATGTAAAATTCACAGGATTATCTTTAAGTAAACAAATGGAAAGAAAGACAGGCACTTACTAGTGATGCACGATGGTGGATTGGCTGAGCAGTTGGCACAAGGATCTGCAGGGAAAACAGAGGTGGAAATAATAGCATCAAGAACATTTTACCTTTGCCTCTCACCTCGCAATTATTTAATGGCAGACAATGTTCGAGTACATTAGCTGCTACAGGACACTTCCAGAACGGTACATGCAGTCTACATGTTTCTGTCTTTCATTTACCTGCCCGAGTTGCTCCTGTGGCGTTACAGTTCAGACACACCATAGGAACACAGGTAGAGCCAGCGCCAACGCCAGCTAAAATAAAGTACAAATAAAATAAAATGTAAATGTGTAGAGCTGAACAGACATATGGAGAAAAGAAAATATGTAACTGTAAAAAAGTGGCTCCTTACCAATGAGGAGATGACTGAGCAGGAGATAAAGTGATATCTCCCTCATAACTATTCTCTGTTGGAAAAGACTCGTATTAATAAATTGCTTTAACCTATGAATAAGTTCAACGGTAGAATGAGACTCCTCGTCTATACATGTCAGAGTTTCTAAGAATAAAAGCTATAAACATTTAAACAAATTAGAGCAGGTCATAGCACTCACACATGTAACATCTTGCACATGAGGTGTTAAATATCATTATAAAAGGTAGAAAAATGTTTTTCTAATTACCTGTGGTGCTGTTGTCTCCTCACATGCAGAGAGGTTGAATGATGACCTGCTCTGTTTTGCCTAACCCAATGGTCTTTGCGTCAGAAAAGGCACGGCAGAGCTGATTATAAACACTGATACCAATGCAAATAAATTCTTTTCTGGAACTTAACGGCACAGACAACACCGACTGTTTGTGTGTTTTATAGACGGTTGCAATGGCAACGATGACTGTAAGGCTGCTTTTTATGATGTTGAGTGACACTAAGGTTAAAGTTATGGTATTTTTACACTTAAACAAAGATAGATCAAGAAATATAGTGACAGAAAAAATAAAGAAAAACAGAGAGATAGAGGTATACTGAAGTATAACCTGTTATAAACAAAACAGTGCTTTACCTATGCAAACTACCCACTGCCACTGCACACACTGTACACTGTGACACATACCAGGAATAATTTTGCTCAGAATCTTTATGGTCAAATTGACTGAATTCAAAGACCTGAAGCTTGAAAATACAATATCAGCCTTGACTGAAGTCATCCACGGCCCTCATGCACAGTATTTATTCTCACAGTGACCAGCAGAGAGTGCTGCTGATCATCCATCTTTTTCTCTTAACACTCATCTCTTCAGGGTCATGGGGAGCTGGAGCCCATCCCAGCATACACAGGGAAAGAGACAGGGTGCACACTGGACAGACTGCCAAACATAAATCACAATCCTAAGCCTAACAGCCAAAAGGCAATTTAGAGTTTTATTTAATCAAACCTGCATGTGTTTGAGCTGTGACAGGAAAACAGAGCATCAAAACAAAAAGCAAAAGAGAACAAACACACACAAGGTGAACATGACCATGCAAACGTCACGGAAATAACCAAACGGGGTTTGCGAATTCAAATCATCTCTGAATCACTTCCCCACATCAAGGATAATGTACTATAATGGCTGGTGTTGTTTCCCCATCGATTTCTGTTTTCTGTTATCTCAACATTACACTGACCCCACCTCTAACCTAAGGCTGTACCCTGATAATGAAGGGCAACAGTATGGGGAAACATTATCTGAAGGGGAAACAGACTTTAACACAAGACCATGGCCTCAGATATTCTCCCTAACTGTAAACTCTTTATTGTTAATTATAGCATTAAGATGTTTTAGAGAAATATCAATTTGAATTTAGTGCTCATCACAGCATTGAGCCAGCTCTCGTCAAAGCTGTAAATAACCTGACATAGTGTATGAATCAAAAGAAACTCCCACTTTTACCAAAGGAATACATCCACAAAATGACCATTTGTATATCAGTTAGTTATGTTGTGTTACCTTGAATTTGAGAGCACAACTACACCAAAGCATCCATTTACGAACTCTCACACAACTCGTGCTGTATAATCTGAGTCGCATTTATCCATTCATGTGCTCAGTACTTCCCAAACACAAGCCGTTTTCTGGAGGCAGACAAGCAACACAATGTTTTCTTCACAAAGTCAAGGTAACACAGCATGACTCATAGATATACAAATCATCATGATGTGGGTGAAGTATTCCTTTCACACAGGACCAAGGTCTGAGCTGTTCTGTCTGCCTGTACACACTTTGTTATTATTTATTACAATAATCTAAGTGGCTCTTTGTTTATGAGAGAACTATCAACCTGTATTTTATGCTTATCACAGCATTGAGGCAGCTTTAATTAACACTATGATCTCACAAAGTATATGAGTGTGTGTACTTGCTTTTACCACTTGACTATGATATACTGTATGTTTCAGTGTGGGGCATCGCTAGCAGCTAGGCTTGGGCTGTATCAAGGTATTATCGTATACCAGGGTATTGAGAAATCCCAAAGATTTTCAATACTATCACAAACCAGACCTCTTTCTATTTAACTGGTACAGAGATGCTGTACTGTATTGTAGTGCACAACACACACCACCAGAGGTCAGTCTCTACTGGTGGAGCAGGTAGCTGAGCTGTGAAAGATGGACTTAGGGTTGTGGGAATGCGGTGGTGGGAGTGATATTACAGTACTAGTAAAAAAGAAAAATGCCTCTGCACCTGTTTGGCAGTATTGACACATGTAACTTTATCTGAGATGACTTCTTCCAACCACAAAAGCAGCATATAAGCAACATGTTCATAATTTCCGCTCAGCACACTGGTGTCCACCATGGTAACAAGTGTCATCAGGTCCTCTACGAAGGGTGTATTTCCTATGTATTCATTATTCTATCAGCCATAAGTATTTAAACCCCAACAAGCGTTGTCTGAATTAGTTCACTGCTTATCAGAAACACAGAATTGTAGGCTAGACAATGACATACACGCTACAACAGGTATGTCCAAAGTCCACCCGGCCCGCGGCTTGTCGTTCAAAATATACTACTTATTTTTCTGTTCGCCTCATGATCGTAGGATTATCATACAATTTGTAGACATGCACCAAGTAAGAACTCCACAGGTGGAACTAATGAGTTCTTATAAACAGACGTAATCAAGCAAATCAACAGTTACCCAACGGCAAATGTTTCCTGCGAGGTAGCAGACATAGCCACAGCAAAGAAGCCTAATGTCGACAGAGAGGGCTGCCATTTTTGGTGGAAAGATAATTACTTTCTCACCAACTTTTTCACAGTTGCATTTGTCTCATTTTTATGTGTGTTTTTTTACTAATACAAATTATGTGAGAAGCAGCTGCCCAGGTATTTCCACATTATCTTTTCTGGCCATCATTCAAAAAAGATTGGACACCCTACCTCGGTGAAGTTTCACCAAGGTAATAATATATATATATATATATATATATATATAAATAGATTCAGCTCAAGCCTACTAGCAATCATATCTTTTCAGTTTAGTATTTTTGTGGTGAGCCATGGGTTCAATTTTTGGCAGCAAAATTCTGCATTCTTTGCTGTACTCTGATGCTAACGTTAGTATGTTATAATGCTAACCGTTAATTTACTAACATGCTAATTTAACATGCTAACATCAGTGTTAGCATAATAAAATTATAACTTTAGCATGGTGCACCAACTAGCTACTGTACACATGTTCACAAGTTATCATATTAAACCCCAAATAAGATGCTATTGTCAGCATGCTAAAATCCTCACGGTACTAGACGTTAGCATGTTAACCTAACAGCTTGTGTTAGCAAATTAGCAAACCGTTTGCACGTTAGCAAGCTAATGATAGTAAACAGTTGAAGGTGGAGTAACTTACAGGTCAGGTGATAATAACTGTGCCAGAATTGAAAAAAAATACACTTAAGACTGAATTTAACATTGTGGGAATTCAAAGGACACTTTTGAAGTGTGTTACATTCAGAAATATTCCTCTTAATTTCACAATAGTCTCTGGACTGGACCAGATAAGGCTAGCAATTATACATTAGCTACAATGCTAAAAATGCTGCAGAACAAAGTGCTACTATTGAGATGTTTATGTAACTATATGACATATCACCTGACACCACAAGTTATGCTTTCTCATTTTGTCTTGCTGATTCCTTTTATTATTTGAAGGCTTAACTGCATTGCAAGTGAATACTATTTTTAGTATTGTGTAAACTTTGCCATTTTAATCACAACTAGCTTATCTATGCTATGTGCTGTAATGTCACTTCTTAACACAGCCACTTTGCAACAGGCTTTTATATTCAAGAAAAGTCACTGAAACATTTAAGTCAGAGCCAAGCTACTTGACATTTCAAAGAACAAAATTTTGCACTGTTAATTAACTGTCCTGCATCACCTGTGTGGTGTGCTTCTGCGCATGTCAGGACTCAGGTAACAAGTCATGGCAGTTGATTAACTCTCACCTGTAAACTTCTTCATCGCTCTCGTCTTCACTCGCAGTGTGTTTGTTTCCGCTGAAGATGGTCGCCCTTAGAGGACTTTATCACAGTTTCTCCCGCCTGGCAAAAGTTACTGCAAAGAAGCAATTGAGGAGATATGACAAATGGTGCACCATAGCCACTGGCATCGTGGCGGACAGGAAGGTACGACAGTCATTTCACACACAAGCTAATTTGAGAGTGTATGCATGCTCGGCAAAAAATAAAGTGTGGTGTACAACCATGGGCGTATCATGAGACAATGGGCCCCTGTGCACAGACATGTAAAAGGCCCCACCACCTCCCCTGCATGAGACTGTGGTGATTTTGGCTCTTTTGTCAATCACTTTATTTAGGCCTATTTGTTACATGAAACCATAAAATATGATCTCAGTCAATTTTTTTTATAGAAGTAGACATTTTGTGTCTTTTTTTTAATTGCTTTGTGTCCCTAAAGTAATTTCATGCAGTTTTTTAATGGGAGGGGGGTTGATTTTGTGTCTTTTTGGTTGTTTTGTGTGTCTTTGTAGTCAGTTGGTGTCTTTTGAGGTAATTTTATACTTAAGATATAATACTGTTTTTTGGGGAGGGGGTGCTTTGCGTCTTTTTGGTCGCTTTGTGTCTCTTTGTAGTCATTTGGTGTCACCTTGTAGTCGCTTTGTGTGCCTTTGACTTAATTTTGTGGGGGGTTTATTTGGGGTGGGGTGTCCTTTTTGGTCATTTGTGTCTTTTTTTAGTGTTTTTGTGTCTTTTTAAGCTAATAATGTGGGTTTTATTCAGATAATTTGGTGTTTTGGTTGCTTTGTGTCTCATTGTAGTCATTTGGTGTCACTTTGTAGTCATTTTGTGTGTCTTTGATGAATTTTGTGGGGGGTTTATTTGGGGTGGGGTGTCATTTTTGGTCATTTTGTGTCTCTTTGTAGCGTGTTTGTGTCTGTTTGAGGTCATTATGTGGGATTTTTGAAAATAATCGTTTTGTGTCTCTTTGTAGTCATTTGGTGTCTTTGTTGGTTAGTTTATCCCTCTTTGTGGTTATTTTGTGTCTCTTTGAGGTCATTTTGTGTCCTTTTGTGTTTGTTTTGCCCATTTTGTAGTTATTTTGCATCTCTTTGCAGTTGCTTTGCATCTCCTTATGGTCTTTTTGTGTCTCTTCTCATCTGTATTAATTTAAGTGACATTTTGCAGGTAAAGGCAAGGGGGTCACCTTGCACTTTGAGCCCCTGGGCCTGTGCCTGGCATTAATCCATCCATGTGTACAATTTGCACTACGTATATTAGCCACAGTGAATATATATATCTACATTCATTTAATTGCTGTTGCTGCAGAATAATATTCATATAAAGTTAATTGTGAACTTCTGATGCTCTGTGTGCCAACCCTCATGGTAATCTGCTTGAATTTGTTTTTACAAAAGGAAGCCAGTTATTGTTAGAGAGATGTGAAGTTGAAGTTAATGCTCCATCTCAAAGTTTAGTAATGTTTGGAGAGTGCAACGAGTTTGACTTTTATATTGTAAGGCAGGAAAGCCCTCTTAAAATAAGTGAGGAGGCATTGTTTTCTACTTTAAATGTCTAAACCTCAGTGACTTCCAAGTAAAAGGAAACTTCAGTGTGACTTAAAAGGAGAAGAGAAGTGTCACATGCTTAAAAACATTCTCAGATGCAGCGCTGTTACTGCGAAACTGCCGTCTAGATTGTATAATGGCTGTAAGCTGTGTCAAGTAACTCGCACAGTGACTGTACATCAAAAGCAGAATGAGTGCGTTTGTCTTGTCTGTGTTCCCACATCATAGTGTTTCTCAAGACGTAGGCTGAGAACAGTTTGATCATAGTAACCATACTTCCTCTTTTGTGGCTTGTTGCTATGGCAAGACTTCCCTTCCAGGCAGGAAGTGACAGGACGACCCAAGTGATGAGTTCTTGAGTGTGTGTGTGTGTGTGTGTGTGTGTGTGAAGAGTGTGTTGGGTGTTGGGTGGAGCACTTTACTGTGTCCCCTGACAGTGTGCACATCGCATAAAAACTTCAGCTTGTAGTCTGGTGTCTGAGCCACCATGGCGAAGAACTGCAACGCTCTAGGGATTCCTGTTGGCCACTTGGTGAGTTGGCAAGCCTCTTGATAGTTTTGGTTTTGTTCTGCAGCTGTTGTTTGGGTCTAGTGGTTTGTTCATACATTTTTGCTGTATAAAGGAGGATTTATCAGCTCTTAGACGGAGTTTTTCAAGACTGGAAGCGTAGTGTGAGGAATAAGTTGTAGTTAAGTGTGTTGAATACCTGTCACCTGTAATGATTTGGCTCACAGAAATGTCTTTTTTTAAGTTTTAACTGCTTTTTCAGTCTGCCTTTTTAGCTGTACTCATGCTGTTGAGTTGACTCCGAGGTCAGAGTACCAAGAGAATGATAGTTTCATGTGTTAGCTTGAATTGTCTGCCTCGACTCCTCAGAGGTGCCAGAGCCAATCAGGCTGTGTGGCTAACAGTTGGTTGCTCTTGAAAACAGACCAGGCCTGCTTGAGTCAGAAGCGGAAACCAAGCCATGCCTGTGTGCCAATCTGTCATGTGTAGGCCGACTTGGCTCCGGTCAGGTTTGTGTGAAACTGTTACGTTTCTTGAATTGGTTCAGTTCTGCAAAAGGTGTGAAAGTGTATATAAAGATATACTTCACGCAGGCAGAGAAGTGCTGGGTGTTTCTAGAGTTTTTAAAAAAAGCCTGTCTGTGCTTTGCATTTTGTCTGATTGACAATGTTCCTATAAGTAGTGCTGCATCAAACTCTTCCCTCACATAGTGTGTTTGCATATTTTGTCTCTCCTTTAAAGGATTTGCAGAGAATCCTAATCCTTTAGACATTGTTCTGTGTTGCAGTGTGTGAGAATGAAAGGTGTGCGAGCAACACTGTGATGAATCATTTGCTGTCATTACAGTTAGTGGATGAATGTGTATGTTGGCTTCCCCTGTGAAGTGTGTCTGTAGGCACCGACATGTTGTGTTTTTGGAGCCAGAGTTTGAGAGCAAAAAAAAAAAAAAACGTGAAGAGGTGGAGTCACAGTGGAGCTCGCACCTGCAGAAACTGCCAGCCCATGTCGGCCTTATATGGACAAAGTTTATCAGTTGTGAACAGCGGTTGCCTTTGAGCTGTTGTCAAGCACTAACAGAAAATGACACTTTCTATTTGCGTGCACTAAAAATCCAACACATGCAGTATACTGTATTTTCTCACTGGCAATTTGTTTTATAGTGTGGGTGCAGTGCTATTGTGTTAAAGACTTTTTGACCATCTATTTCTACATAGGAGATAGGTCTTACTCTTATCAATACTAATATAGCTGACTGGACTCAACAGCATGCTGATTTTTGAGTCACATCAGTGGGTGCTGAGAGTTTTCTCTCAATCTCATTATGACATGTAGTTTTCTCTATGACTCAGCATTTGTCTCCGTTGCGTTTGATGTAAACGCTTTAAGGGTTATTCTAGAAATTAGGTTAAAATAAGGTGATCTCTATGAAAACCTTGACTTGAGTTAATCTAAAGAGAATATTTTTAAAAATACTTTTACAAAGCTAACCCAGAGCTACACTGATCAGGAAAGTTGAAGTCTGCTTTCTACAACCAAGAAAGCTCCATGTACATCAAAGACAGATCTTATCAATTCACAATAATGCAGATATAGATAAAATAATATTTCTGTGTAAGCACTCAGATTATGCCGCCTGATAGGTGGCAGATTTTTTAATCTTTCTTAATCTTATTTTTACCCAAATGGCATTCAGAGCGTGCATGACAATGTTTCTTCCAAGTCTATTTTTACACCCAGTGTACACTGTGTAGGCTAGTCTTCTGAGTCGCAACCTGCCCATAGACAGACAGAAACGCTCACATTCACACCTCTGGGCAAATTTTAGATGTGTAGACGGTGGGAGGAAACCCAGACAGACGAAAGGTCGTGAACTTGACACAGAGAGGCCTTGGATTAAAACCAAGGACTGTTGTCTTGTGAGCCACGTTTAAATGATATTTCTGTATAACTGGATTCTTGAGCAGGGTCTTGCTTGTGCCATTTTTGGAACTCAACACCAGTTAAAACCGATCCAGTTAACCTGCTGATTCTGTTTTCTGAAACAACTCCTGGGGGGTGTTGATCAGTGTCTACTAGAGCTGCAATGATTTATTTGTTGTCAACTATTAAATTAATTGTCAACAAGTTTGATAATCATTTATTTTTCTTAAGACAAAAAGTAAAAATTGTCTGATTCAATCTTCTTTAAATGTGAATACTTTCTGGTTTCTATGACAGTAAACCTAATTTCTTGGAATTGTGGACAAAACAAGACATCTAAGGATGTCTTCTTTGGCTTTGGAAAACACTGATTGATATTTTCACCATTTTCTGACATTTCATAGACCAAAGAGCTAATCGACTAATCAAGAAAATTATAACTAACATAATCGTTACTTGGCAGCCGTAATATGTAGGCCCCATGATACCTGATTGGTGTGGTTACCAGCACTGGTTTGCAGAATATATTGGCAGTATTTAAGTGTGAACTGAAACAGAACTTTTACAAGATGTGGATTTCTGTAAGCTCTAAAGCTGAATGAGAGCCATTGTCATCAGTGTCACAACCACTTCCTGTGAAAACAGCCTTGACTGATTGCACTACATTGTTACATAGAGGAAAAAAGCAAAAAACATGCAGCTGGTTTTCACATTTCACTTCCTAAATGTATGCCTCTGTGCTTGCTTATATGCGTCAATCTTCAAGTTCTATTTGGGGTACACTGTACAATGTGCATTAAAAAGCTGTTGCTGTAATGTTTAAATGTTTTTTGTTGTTGTTGTATGATTTACTTTTGATTGCAGTTTCGTAGAGAATAAATGACTTTAAATACAGTTCCTCTTTTGAGTATATTATCCATGACAGCCTCAGCGAGGTGTTTTCCATTTTATCAGATGTTTTAGTTTATTGTCGTTCCCTACCTTACCTCTCTGTCTCTCTATTCACAGAGCCAGGCAGTGTCAGACGGAGGTAAGCATGAACAACCAGCATGTGCTCCGACAGTCCTCTACATCTCGCAATCCTCCAAGCTGAAACGTGTCTGTGCATGACAGGAGAGAATATCTGATTCAGCCTCATTCTTGGTCATGCTTTTCAGTGCTGATAAATGGGTGTGTTTTGTGTCTGGATGTGTTTGTAGAGTTGAACATGTCTGCTCGCGGCTGTGGAGGCAGCAGCTCCAGTCTCCCAGGGACTCCCGGCGGAGACGTCACCCCAGCCAACAGTGTGCTGAGCTGGGCCGTCTCATTTGAGAAGCTGCTGGAGGACCCCTGCGGCGTCCGCCACTTTACGGTGAGACACACTCAGCAATACATGGCGTGTTATGTTGTAACTTTCAACAAGCTCAGGGATAGGTGTTAATAAGTGCTGGTGTTTTCAAACAAATTCTCAGGAAGTGTTTCACAGTTCTGTGTCTTCCTCCACAGACCTTCTTGATGTCCGAGGTGAGCGCGGAGAACATTTTATTTTGGCAGGCTTGTGAAAAATTCAGGAAGATCCCAGCCAGCTCCTTGAACGAGGTATGATGGGACTTTTTTTTACTCTGTACATGGTTAATCATCTTACCTGTAATTTGTGATTCATCATGATGTGTGTTTACTCAGCACAAGCTCCCTTTATAAATACTAATCTCTGGAATTTTCCTGAAACTTATTTTTGTAGTTGTAGACAACATGTTGAACGTTTACAATGTGAGCAGCTTGGTTGCTATACTGCTGTAATTGTGCCTGTGTGACAGTCAGGAGGTGCAGGTTTATTTATATTATATTACTGTTATTATGTTACAGTATTTTTATATGTAGTTAATCAGCCTTAAAGGTCCAGTGTGTAGGATTTAGGGGAATATATTGGCAGAGATGGAATGTAATATAGTAGGTATGACTTCTTTAGTTTATAATCACCTGAACACAAGAATTGCTGTGTTTTTGTTACCTTAGAATGAGCTGTTAATATCTACATAGGGAGTGGGTCCTCATCCATGGAGTTTGCCATGTTGCACCGTCATGTTTCTACAGTAGCCCAGAACAGACAGACCAAACACTGGCTCTAGATCGGGCCATACCTGTTTTCGCATCGGACACTGTAGTCGATAGCCCCCATCTGCAATGACCAGTGTCGGAAAACCACTGATTTCTTTAACATGAACCTGCTTATTCAGTGCTTTTACCGGTTTAAATCACCAAGTCTGTTGTTTCAGACAGGAAGTGACATCTGTGGATAATTCATCTCACGGTAAAAACCTCATGAATGTCTAGAACTTAAGTTATCAGACAAAAAAGGTGAGCCGCATTAGCAGGGGTTGTGCTGGCTTCTCTGCTATGAGCCGAACAGTGTCAGACAAATGCTGATTTTTTTAAAAACTGCTTTAATAAGCATTTTTACCGGTTTAAATCCCCAAGTCTGTTTTGGCGAGGAGGAGACCTCTGTGGATAATTTGGCTCATGGTAAAAACCTCCTGAACAATGAACACTGAAGGAATTCTAGGCACATCAGAGAAGTTTGAGCAGGTTGCAGTCTGCAGTCCTCACTGCTAGATGCCATTAAATCCTATGAATCCTACACACTGCTCCTTTTAAGTAGCATTGATAAACAGCTCAGTAAAAAATGTATACATTTCCTGTTGACCTCAATGACGGATGAAGCTGTTGTTCAACCATCGTTCTTGTGATGTTTTCCTTCTTTTACACCATTTATTTAAATAAAAGTAGCCCGCTAGGAAGCTTAAAAAGCTGTATTCATCTTTTAATCTATTTTGTACCTCCTGGCAGACTTGCTGTTCGGTCAATTAAATTCTATTGTAGAAACAGGAAGTGCAGAAATTGACAGGGTTGTTGACTGTCCATGCATCAGTCGAGTTTCTGTGGCTGCTCAGCTCTCTGTGAAATGAATTGCCTTTTAGTGACTTATTGATTGAATGACTTCCAGTGTGGTTCCTTGGAAAGGGTCGATTTGATTCTTGGTACACTTAACAAGGAAAGACACCAAGTCGGTATACATATATACACACACTGAGTGGTTTTGTAGATTGGTTAATGAAAGCTGCATACTCAGCTAAATACTCAAACAAAATCCAAAGGGAAATTGGTTCAGTGTGTCACTGGGGTTTGGTTAAAAAGATGTCTCATTAGCTAAGAAACAAGCTGTTCTGTTCCCAGCTGAAAGTGTCAGCTCGCTCCATCTACAACACCTACCTGTCTGACAGCGCTCCCTACTCAGTCAACATCGATGACACAGCCAAGACAGAGGAGAAGGACCTGGAACAGCCCACACCTGACATGTTTAACAAGGCTCAAGCACAGGTTGGTGTGCAGTCCACACTCCCATATTAGCTCCGTAATACAGTGATACGTTGTCGGTGCCTCTGCTGACTTTGTGTGTGTATCCATCCCTGCTTTGTGTCAGATATTTAAACTGATGAAGATGGACAGCTACAGGCGCTTTGTGCGCTCTCCTCTCTATCAGAGCTGCACCTTGGCAAGTGTAGAAGGTAAACCTCTACCTCAGCTCTCCAAAGGGCCGGCTCGCATGGGATCCTGGGAGGACATGGCTACCAGAAGCCCCTTAAATGATAAAAAGGTGAGAGTGAGAGGGACAAAATGCACTAAGGGGAGGAAGGGGGAAACATGCAAGGTTTTCTTGTTTTAGTTATGCTGTTATGACATTTCTGGCGTCACTGTGTCAAACAGAACAAGTCGGACTCCAACAGCTTGCCAGGTGGCAAGAGTGCCTCGGAGAAACAGCGGCAGAAAAGAGGATCCTGGGGAGGTAGTGCCTGTCAAGTGGCAGATCTTGTGCTTCTGAGCTATGCCTTGATATACATCCTGTCACTTCATCTCACAATTTCACCCTGGCTCTCTTTTTGTCCTCATTGATAACAATAGATGCATCCGACATCCATGGTTCGGTCTCCCGGAAAGATTCCCACATGTCCGTCAAGTCAAGCAGCAGCGTGGAGCTCGGCTCCCTCCACAGGCAGGTGGAGGTCAGTGCATTTGTGATATCAGGACACACGGGGATTAAAAAATACTGCTCAAAGTCACAAATCTTACAGTTTAGAAAAAATTCATCCATAAAGTAAATTGTAAATTGTTTTGAAGTATATTTTTAAATCTTGGACCTTCTCCATCTGTGATGTAGAACGGCAGATCAACTCCAGAGCAGGGTGGTGGTGGTGGAGGTGGGAGTCGAATAGGAGTGGAGGGGGGCTACTGCTGTGTATACCTACCCGATGGCACTGCCTCCTTGGCCCCAACACGTAATGGCCAACCCATCAAAGACATGCTGGCTAGCCTGTGTGAGAAGAGAGGCTTCCCGCTGAAAGATGTCGTCATCTACCTTCACGGCAAGGACAAGGTGAGATCTTAGCTGCTCTTTCTGCAGCAGCAGCTGCAGCTTTAGATCAAGAAGCTGTTAAAAGATATCTACTGTACCCGACTGCAAAGTTGTTTTGCAACAGGCGGTATGAGAAAGATGACTACCCTCTTCCTGTTCTAACATCCTCTCAACCTCTCACTCCCTCTTTTCATTTCTCTAACTTATTTGAAAGTATCTGCAGTTGATGCTGACGTCTCTGAAAGTTACTTCTCTCTGTCTGACATGCCGTTTGTTCTCTTTACAACAGCCCTTATCACTGGACCAGGACTGCTCCGTACTGAGAGATCAGCAGGTCTCTCTGGAGCTCAGGGTGATGTTTGCGTGAGTCGACTGTTATTTCCTTCACTTCCTTTTTTTTTTTCTCTGCCTTTGTCACCACAGCAGGCTTTCCCACCCCCGTCCCCACTTCAGCAAGCCACTTGTCACCATATTAGAGGGAAGTCCTTGTGTTAACACCAGACACAGAGCCTGGCTCTCTGCGCTGTAATCATTTTTAGTCATCATTTGAATTACATGCATTATCAAATTGCCACATAAAATCACATGTGGATTTCCTGCTAAGGTATCATGGGGTGGCAGAGACAGGCTTCAAATGATTAGATTCAATGATACAATACAGCACTGCATTCACTGTTTGCGTTTACTGTGTGAGGGAGGTCATTGAAATGCATGTGTGTTGCAGGCTGGAGATTGCCTTCACTGGTAAGACAGTGGGGATCATGGTGAAGTCCAGTAAGACGCTGCAGGACACACTCTCTGCCGTGCTGCAGAAACATCACCTCAAGCCACAAGAGGCTGTGGTCACCATGGTGAGTGTCTGTATGTATGAATGGGACCATAATATGTCGTCAGCGCTTAAGTAGTTCCACCGAATAATCATAATTAATTCACGGTATCTGCGGGGTCTTAAAAAGTATTAAAAATTGATAAATCAAATGTCGGAAAATTAAGGCCCTTAAAAAGTATTAAAAAGTCTTAATTGCGATTTTATGAAGTATTAAATTTTCTTGGCATTCAAGCTTTGACAGAAAGTATCCATGAATGTATAATTTATTTTCCTCCTCGCGACTGTTACAAAAAACGATGTATAGGTAGGCACACTCGGACTGCCTCTCGGGGCCATGTGCATACCTGTGCGACATCACGCGACAGCTCACGTCCAGGCGCCAAACAACAAAAGACAATAAAAAAGGAACAAAAGACAATAAAAAATCCTTCTCATCTTATCTGGGTTCTGTTGGATGTTTGTGCTCCATATATTTAATTGCAAACTACAACTGATTAGTAATTTAAAGATGCGTTGCTGCTAAGGACAGCTTGAAGTGGCGATGAGGTCTTAAGGTTTTTTTGGAAGGTCTTAAAAAAGTCTTAAAAAGGTATTGAAATTAACCGCAGGATTCCTGCAATATACCCTGTAATTCTAATAATTATAATAATTTTCTGCCTGTTGTAAAGGAATAATTATTCTAGTTCAATCAAACAAGTAATAATCTTATATATCTAGTAAGTACACATTTACACGGACATGAATAACCTGTTTATGAGACTTATCCTGGTTATGATCATATTCAGGATATAGTGTTTACATGAGCACAGAGAAATCAGGTTATTTATGTTCCCTGTATACATGAATACTAGTAACCGGGTTACTGACTACTGCAGTCTATTTGCAAAGGTGATGTAGTGTTTACAAAAACAAGCTGGCAATTGGGACAGGAACTGTTAAACAGTACACTGTACATTTACTACGGCTTTACAACTTAACTGCTAATTTCTTTTAGCTCTGCACGTATCTAATTTCTCTCTTTTTTCCTCTTTTATCCGCACACACAAATGTACACTGCGTAGTAACTCGCCTAAAAGCAGCTACACTACTCTAATAACAAAGGTCATCCACACTGATGCCAGCCTGTCACATCACTGCGTATAGCACAGACGAGCAGTGGAAGAAGACAAAACTCAATTTCCTCAATGCTCCAGGAGTGAGACCCTGTCGCTGCCGTCATGTTTTGTATTTCTCTTACGCACTTAGTTGAAGCCGTGCCTGCGCAGGTAGTCGGCTGCTCTCAAAAACCTGGTGCATAAAGCAGCAGTTTCCCAGTTGGGATAGGGTCTTATCCCGGTGTCAGAAAACAGGATATGGTGTGTACATGCTTACACACACATAAGAAGGATATTCCCGATCACAAACGGGTGATTCATGTCCACGTAAACGCACTCATTGATGACTCACCTCTACTTCTCAAAGCAGCAGACTTGTGCGACATTTTTAAATGTACCACTATTTAGACATTCTGTCCGTCTGTCGTCTGCCTCTCCTGCTTTCTGCAGCCGTTGCTAGGCAACCGTTTACGCGTCACCGTGCATGTTAATATTTATATCAAATCTGTAATTTTAATGTGAAAATGTAATGTCGCACTGCCATGTTGGTGGAATAAGTGACGAGGATGACACCATCTTTGTAATGCAGGGAGTTGTGTTTTCTCTGTCATGCATCATTTTCTGTGGGGTTTCTTCTTTATCCCCACAAAACTGTGCATCTGATTGTGAGTCAGCATCTGTCTGAAATGTCTTATTTCCTTGTTTGTTGTAGGTTGGAAGCGACGAGCCCGTGAACATGACAGGCCCTGTGTTCAGACTGGCCAATAAGACGCTACGGCTCGACAAAACTAAAGGTTAATACACTTGACCTTTTTAAAACGCAGTGTTTCTCTTTAATGGGACCCAGGGAGAATCATGTTTACATATTTTTAATAATAACTACACTGCTCCTCCAAAAGCACAAGCAGCCACAGGATGAAAAGAAACCCACTTGGCCAACGAGTAAATTAAATGAGTTCAATCAAACAGAGAAAGGCACATTCAAGCCCTCCAGCCACTGTTAGTTGTCGAAGATGTGGGCGATACATCAGTGCAGCTTTGTGTGTTCTCTTGTGCTGCCTGAGCCCTGCCTGTGCCTTCTTATTCGTGTAATTATTTCTTAATGGGTCCTTGAAGTGTTCCTGCATTTCTTGGTCTCACTTGCTCTTAGCTGGCGGCAAGGAGAAAGTCTTTTCAGTGTCCACTTTAGTGCCCTGGTTTTTCTGCGTCACTGTCTGCATGTTCCTTTTTGCCCACTCTGATTTCTTTGTGCGTCTCTCTCCACGTCTTCATTCTTTTCTGTGCGTTCGGAATGTCTGAGTCCATTTGGTTTGTTGAGCGCTGTGTCAATTTGAGTTCACTCACCTCATTTCCCAACTGCTGAGAGACCAGAACCAACTTCACTTTGGATCAGTGCTCCTCACCTCAGCCCCATTCTATGCATTAAGGAAGAAGGGAATGGATTAGATTGGAGTGGTTGCATCCCAGCAGGACCAGTTTAATTGTTGTCAAGAATATTTTATCTGGCCAATATCAGTGTTTAACACAGTGGGGAAGTAAGGTTCTGTTGCATCATCAGCAGTCCACTGATTATCTTTCTACTGGAAGGGAAGGTTCTGTCAGAAACTGAGGTGTATTTTTTGTGTGTGTGGTTTTAACAGGAAAAGACCAGACCAACATTTCCAAAGGCAGCGGGTCTGCTGCAGCCACACAGGTGAGCCAATGTTAACGGACTGCCGAATATCAAAAATAATGTTGTTGCCATCGTAACAAAACAAAAAAACATACAAGGAAAACTGCTGAGATTAGAGCTGCAACAATTAGGTGATAAATCAATTAGTCGTTTGAAATAAAATTAAATGGAAACTTTTTTGATCATGGAATAATTGAAATGAATGAAATATTTTGAATATTTTTTAAAGCAAAAAAGCCAAAGATTTGCTGTTGCTTGCTTCTTAAATGTTAGAATCTGATGCATTTCTTCATCATAAATGATAATAAACTGAATAATTTGGGATTTTTGGACTACTGGTTGGATAAAATATACCACCTGAAGACGTCACCTTGGGTTCCGGGAAATGACACAGGGCACTTTTCACTATTTTCAGAAATTTTATTGATAAAATCATTGACCACATTATCAAAAAAGCAATTGGCAGATTAATCGATAATGAAAATAATCATTAGCTTCAGCCCTAGCTGAAATGCTCTTGGTTATTATCAAAATAAGAACAGAATGAAGGTTTTCATTTGAAAGCAACGGCTTTGCACGAACAAGGGAGTGATGATTTGCAGGCGACCTTGGTGACAACCTTTGTTATATTCTTATTTAATTACCAAAAACGTGTCAGTGTCTTGCCTTTTTTGTAATCATTCAGTAGATAATCTTTTTTGTTGGTTATATTGGGAATAGAGTAGGAAATATTTTTGCATCCAATGAAATGTGACACGTTGTAGAACGATAGCAGAGAGTCATGTACAACTATGGACACTTTATTCCCATTACGGAAAATTTACAATGGCTGGCAGTATTGCACAATAGAACAGTGTTGTAGTCAAGACCACCCAAACCGAGACCAAGTCATGACCAAGACCAGGACAGAGAGAGTCCCACACTGCACTGAAATGTGGATCACGCCAATCATAGTCACTCCTCAAACTGATCCAACAGATCCAATTTCCCACTTTCCCTTTCATTCACCTCTTTTGTTGCCATACTGTATGTGCGTGTGTATCAGTGTACCAGTGTACAGTGTAAAATGATCAAAAGGCATTGCAGAGGTTAATTTTATGTGTGGGAATTCCCCTTTGTTTTCTATGAGCAAACAAATTCAAACACATATCAGTTTAACCATCTATATTGAACACAACTCACACAATAACACTTGTGCACAGGCAGTTTAGTGATATCCCCACTGGTCATGAAATAAAATCCATAGTCCTCTTTGTCTGAAACAGACAAGACCAAGTAAAAGTGCGGACTCAGTAAAGACCTACAAAAAGTGGTCTTAAATGTGCTTGGGACACATCTTCTGGACACCACCAAAATCACTGTTGAAAAGCATCAACATTTCTCTGACAAAATGTTTTGATTATGTGATTTCTAAAATTTGTAGTAAAGAGTGTTACTAGGATTTAAAACCTTGGAAACTTTACTTTGAACATTAATAACGCTTGAATCTTTTGGTCGCAGGCAGGAGCAGTGAGCGCAGGCGGAGGGGAGGCCCGATCAGTGCTTCAGACAGACAAAGCCAAGACTCAGCACAAGCCCAGTAAGAACCGCGACATGGAGGGTAGGACATCTCAGCAGCATCTAGTAGGGTTAGGCAACATGGCAATATGCACTGTAAGAGGATAGATGTTTGATAACTGTCACTGTGTTTTCCGTTCTATTTACAACAAGGAATCTATGGCAAACAGGATGTTTTAATCAATGTGGGGACATACCTTGACCTCTTGAGGTCGAGGGTTCTTTCTAAGAATCACTGTCGTATACATATTGATTAATAATAACATAATTGTTATTATTCTATATTTCTTAAACTCATTGAGAATACATTGTGTTGCCTAACCCTACTCCCAACTATTAAATGTGAATGCAGGAGGCAGATTAAAAAATAGCACAGTGTTATTTATTTATTTATTTGAAACAAATGTCAGAAATAGCATGATGTTTTTGTGTGTCAGTGTTTCTGGACATGCTGACGAGGGCTCAGGGCTGCAGGGTTGATGACCAGCGAGGCCTTTTGACCAAAGAGCAGCTGGAGCTGCCTCTGTTCCTGCAGCTGCCCTCAGACCGGGGACAGGACACAGAGCCAGGTGAACCTGGTACAACCAGCTCCTCCTCTGCAGACTCCAAAGAGGACAATGTGAAAGAAGAAGAGACGTCGAGTTCAGGTGGTGCAACGGCGGAAACCTCGAACTCTGCTGAGCCTGAGGCCAAAAACTTACGGGAAACAGCAGTTTGAAAGACTTGTGTGTGTGTGTGTGTGTGTGTGTGTGTGTGTGTGTGTGGGATGGACAATATCAGAAACTACGGCAAACATCTTGCAATGTCATGTGACCATCATGTCAAAAGATGGGAAAAATGGTCAAGCACTTTTTATAACTGTTTACAAATAAGCTCTGAGACAGCAGTGTGGTATCATCTCTCCTGATAACTTCCTCTTGAGGCAAAATGAAAGACGAAGAAGAAGAAGAAAGATCATGGCAAACATTAATAGTGTCATTTCAAAACACTACAGGTTAATTGGTAGAAAGTTTGCCATGAATTGTTTAATGTATCAAAAATGTTTGAGAAGAAGTTTCAGTTCAACATTTCAGCCTGAAGCCAGTGTGTTTGCTCGAGTGTTTCCTGACGGATTAATGTTGTACAGTTTGTAGATTACTTTGCTTTAATTTCTCACAGTCTCACATTTCAGGCTTTTCTTTGAACTCTAAGCAAAGACATGTTTCTGCACAGGACTGTCCAGAAGGGCGTATTGAAGTGTATTGCACTTTTTTTTTTCTCTTTATTCGAATTAAGATTATTGAATATTTTACTGAGATGAGTTTTAAATATTTTAAATTAGCAGTGTTCATTTTGTGTGCTTACTTAATGTTTTCAAATGGGTTGTTTTTTTGCGGTACTTCTCCATCTTGTTTGCTGTGATGGCACTTTGAGAAGCCCTGGTCAAGTCCTGTTTTCCCTTCTCACCTCAGACTACATCTCAGGGTCCAGATCATGAATTAGTAATCTGATATTACAGGGAATGAATCAGATGATGTGATCATCAGAAAATATCCCACAGGGTGTGTCCAAAGAATTAAAGTGTTTCATGATGAAATGTGATCCTTTCCATCTGTATTTGTTGTTGGGGGAAGACATCAGCTTTCAGCTTTCAGCTCTCTGTGAGAGGAAGTTTTTTGGGTGAATCACTGAGGTCAGTTTCTGGCTTGACAAATGCTACGTGATTTGATTTTATATGTGGGGCAGCCAGACCCCTCTGCCCCTGTGGAAAGGCTGCATGACTCATGCAGTGTAAAACAAGCCAATGTGAATCTTGCAGTGAAGGTGTCAATTGTAACTAGCTTTGATTACATTATATTATCCTGGGCGAGAAACCCAAAATGCCATCATGTAATGACGTCATTTTTGCACAGTGACGGCTGATCGTTGCAGCGCTGTGATTGGCTCTTTGTCCAGGCTTTGTAGCCAATGGCTTGCCTCATCTGTACACCGACTTGTTGCTGGAAGGTGTTTGTCAGGAGCCTAGGAGAATTGTTATGGGGTGCATCTGGCTATTGTATAGGTTACAAAACAAATTAGATGAGTCATCGATGGACTCATCACCAACGATGATGTCAGCAGCATGTATATATCAGAGTACGTGACAGTATGTGGTGTGTGAATCGTCGCATTCACCCACTTTGTAGATTGGATTGTCTCTGAAGTAATTAACAATTAGGCAGTTAGCAGACGTGTGGAGGAAAACAATATTGTGCACTATATGATACCTGTTTGTCACGCCCACAGTTTCCGTCTGCCAGGCTGAAAACATTAGCATACAGAGCTGTGATTGGCACACCTGGCGTTTATATGTATGTGTGTGTGTGTGTGTGTGTGTGTCCATGCATGAGTGGTGCGTTGGCGGAGCTATGAATGGGCAGAGAGGGGTGTGCTCTCACAGACACCATAGCAGCAGTGGGATGAGGAGTGCCATCTACTCCACTGCACGTCTGTACTGAGAGAAGGAAGGAGGGAGAAAAGGAGGTGAGTGTCTGAATTTCCCCCAGGCGTTTGACTAATCTCATTTTTGGGGGTGATCGCTGTGCTTGTTCAGTCAGTAGATGTGTCTGCCTGCCCTTTCTCTCTCTGTCACTCCCATCATTCATCCTCTCCTCCTGTCTGTCACACAGTGCATTGCTGTGCTTGATTAAACGTCTCGTGCTGTCTTGAGATAAACCCTCCTTCATCTCTTAATTCATAGAAAATCTCACATGTTATGCCAGTGCCTTTCTCCTATCTCTGTTTGCTGCTGTCAGTAATCGACATTGGGATGGATAACAAACAGCTTTTGAATATCTGGGAAGTGTTTATTTTCTGAACTCAATCCTCTGCTAATGGGAGCTCTGAATGGTGCTCACTGTGCCTTTGAGAGTCCTGCAGAGGAATACATAAGTGGTGTAAAACAAAACCCATCCATCAGATCAATGCTCGAACATTTACTGTGCGCTGAGAGATGCTGCTCAGCCAGTGAAGGACAGACTCTGCTCAGCGTGTTAAAAAATGAAAATGATAGTGGATTCATTAGCTCTGACTCAGTTATCAGGTGAGAGACACATGGTCGAGATGTGATGCAGGCTGGGAGCAGCTGTGTAGGTCGGCTGCTGACTGAATTCATCCAGCTGCAGGGAGTTGGTGTGTGTGTGTGTGTGTGTGTGTGTGTGTGTGTGTGTGTGTGTGTGTGTGTGTGTGTGTGTGTGTGTGTGTGTGTGTGTGTGTCACACCTGAGTGTGGCTGAACAGACAGCCCATTATCATCAATTACAGGACATAATGTCCTTGGCACTGTGAGCCGTCTTATTGTGCTCCCTACCGCCGGTGCACCCACTGTCCACATGCTCACCTTGGTGCTCCATCCACTTCTGTGTGCATGCATGTTGCTATATAATTATACACATCATGTGCATGTGATCTTCTGTGATTAGCAACAGCAGGGATGTAGCGAGGCGGCAATGTCAGGCCAGGCTTCAATTTCACCTCCTGGAGCTGAATTCTAAGGATTAGTTGACCCAAAGGAGGAGGAGTGGAAAGTAGGGTGTTTATCACTCATGTCACAGCTGAAAGGACGTTTTCTGTCACCATTGCGAGATGAATGGATGAACACTGATGAGCCTCAGTTGGAGATACCATCGCAAGTCTTCAGTATTCACTGTCAGATAGGCCGACCTTTCAAGAATCAGACGAGATCTGCTCACTGTATTAAAAGCTCCTAGCAATGCCTAGTGACGTGGGCTGACCTCTTTGATTCATGCCTTAATCTGATATTTTCATTCAGCACCTGTAAAAGTTCCTTGGATGTGCGTACCCTCCACCCTGCTTGTTTCGACCTTTCAAGAAGACAACAGGAGCAATGATGTTGATGCAACCTGACCGTACTGTTCACTTTGATTTCTTTCCTGTCCTTGTGAAACTCCCTCTCTCTCTTTCACACACACACACACACACACACACACACACACACACACACACACTGAAATGAAGCTTAAGAAATCCATGCGATGTTTCTCAGTTGGGGAGTTAATTAGTGTTGACCCAACATTCAAAGATTCGAGCTGGGCCGATCTCGGTCTCTGCTGGTGTTTATGGATTCAAATCTTCAGGGCAGATTTTCTTCTTATGCAATGCAGATGCTCACATCAGCATTTTATTTCAGACCGTAAAGGCTAATTACTCCTATTAAACTTTTCTGCCTCAGTTTTATCATCCTCCTCTTGCACTGTCTCAGTCAGAAGTGAAGGTAGAAGGAGGAGAAAAGTGAAAAAAGACTGCGAGGCAAAATATTCAATCAGCTCATCCTTGCAGAAAGAGTTCTTGAGTAGCTTTTAAGGCCAAAGTCTCGGCTATATGCCTGTGTCCATGTAATAATGTATGAGCATTTTGGGCTTTTGTGTGCATACCACAAAGTGTTTTTGAATGTGTCACCTTGGCTGTTAGCTTGCTCATGTGGATTAATCGATGGAGAAGTGTTTCGCGAAGCTTTTCTACCTCGGCTACAAAGGAGACGCACTTGCACCCGCTTCAGTCTAACCTATGCGGCCCATCACCTCTTTGCCTCTTCTACAAAGGAGAGATTCCTCGTTTCACCAAAGACGGACAGACACAGTGACAGAGGAAAGCATGGGGAGTGACAGGGTTAGGCAAGTAGGCAAATCATTCTCATTTAGGTCATTTCCCTCAGCGAGCAGGTCAGAGAGAGCACTCAGGACCCACTGAATGCATGCCCTTCCATCAAGGCTGAGATTATCCTCCTCTATCCCTCAAATAGCTCTAATGCACATTTTAGAGTAAGTGCATGAGTACAACAGTCTTGTATACCCCTGGGTGTGCCAACTGAACCGACATGTATGTGCACAATAGGCCTGTACGAGAGAAGCTGGGAACACTCGACTAGGTCAGTCCCTCCGGTACAAAGCATTCAGTTCTAGCAGGTAGGCCTCGCTGAGGATCACATATTCCAGTCCAAGTGGGACTTTGTCATGGGGTGCCCCCGCAGCATCAGATTTGGCGCTGACGTCAGCTGTCACAGTGGGTGATTGAGCTGCTGTCGACTAGGAGCTCACTCACCCACTGTGAGTGAGCGAGCTCCTGTCGTTCAGCTCCCATTTATTCTTCATGAGCCCTGGACTCAATTCTTCCTGTGGAGCAACAAAAGATCAGGGTGGTAGATAAGTCTTTGTGAATTCAGTCAGATCAGTAAGTGACTTCCTATGTTTTATTTTGTCTTGGCTCCGTGGACACTTTTGCCTCGCCAGGCCAGACCTTGAGAGACTTCAAAATTATAAACATATTTTACAGGGAGAAATTATTTTATCATCAGCACTGTGTCTCTTGGATGCCTGTTGCTTATGGTCTGGCGCCTGGTTGCTGTCTTTTTGTAAAGCCCCAACCTCATCGCCCTGAGCACAGAAAATAAGAAGAAAATAAAAAAAATCCAGGCAGAGACTAGAGTCTGTGCAGAAAAACACACCATCACACACTTCTATTGGGTCACAAGTGATGAGTACCAGCCGTGCAACGACGCAACAGCTTGTATTGTTTTCACCTTGCGAGTGTGTGTGCGCGTGTGTCATCATACAAATTGTGGTCCAGGCAACACCCGTTGCAGTGGGATCTACCACAGAAGTGGTTTTGAGTATTTTGACAGGTGTCTATATGTCTGATTGTCTGTGAACAGATCTTATCAGCAGGATAGCCTCGCAACTGTGCAAGATGCAGTCATGAAACTCAACCACAGGTGTAGAGTTGGGATCAAAATGAAGGCTGACATTTAAGATGGGTGTGGTCGGAGGGGCCATTGGCTCCTCACATTGGTTTCAAGTTGCGGATTGCTGTATTGTGAGTGGAGTGATCCCATCCCAAGGTGGTCTCTAGTTGACAGGGATGAGTAAATACCAAGCAGCAACCCCCATAGAGTCCTCAGCTTCTCAGTCAGCTCCACCCCATCCTCCTTCACACAGCCAGCCTCTGGCCCAAATATGGTCACTTCTGGCTCCGGCTGAAATGCTGAGCTCGAGGTTTTAAAATGGAGTCCACAAACCAAAGTGTTGTAGCTATGTCCATTATTTTTACAGTCTTATGGTCCATACATTATATCTTTAAACTCAATAATTAATTATAGTTTATTTGCTCTGAGGACCCTGAAAATGTATTTTCTCAATCAACTTGATGATGTTGTCCTAAATGAAGCAATGTCTTTCTTTCTTTCTTTCTTTTTTTGTTTTTTTTGCCAAACTTAAAACAGTTTTGATTATTTAACCTGAAAGATTTCCATATTTCTATTTGTCTCTGTACTCTTTTTTTTTTTTCCAATCGACTTTGTTGAAAAAAAGACAGCCATCGAAGATTCCACAAATTGTCAAAAAAAAAAAAAAAAAAATACAAACGATAGGCTAAAATGAGCCATCATGGAAATATAAAATAAAAAGCGACAGCTGATGTATGGTGGATAAAATTATATTATTATTCACATGTTTCAGAGACTCCGTTAGATTAAAAAATTCTATCAAAAAACCTTTTTAATCAGGGGATGATTAGGCAAATTCAGATTTGTGGTTTCTCATAAAAATAAATTAATCAACATTGCTTACAAAATAAAGAAAGTTTGTCTCTGTACTTTCTAGGCTCAGTGAGACACAGATGATGTCACAAATTTCTGTGCCCTAATCAGGATTAAGCAACATTTAAATTGAAATTGAAATGTTTGTTTGGTCTCTGTAAATCAAAACTAATCAAACCATGAGCCCACAGTCCTGATGAAGCAGATTAGCTGAGTTTTTATTCAAACTCTGCCTGAATAATACCTACAGATCTGTTAAGCTTATTTAGTCATGAATATTTTATGTTGGAGAGAATACTTTAAGCCAGATTTTAAGGGGCTTTAACATGCTTTCACTTTACTTTGCCATAGTAGATGCCATTACTCAAAGACATGAAAAGAACCTTTTAAAAAAATGGCAAATGCATATTCCAATTTGTGACAAGTTTCAGGAAACCTAATGCAATCAACTAAAGCAAGGTCAGCACAAGGTCAACTTACTTGGTGTTTCTGAAGCTTTCAGCGACACCATGTGGACTTCCTTGACAGATTAAAAGAGCTCAGCACTGACAGCCAGAGCTCAGTAGGCACCCCTCTGGTGAAGAAAGCCACAAGATGCAGCCCAAAGAATCAGAAACACCAAGTAAGCTGACCATGTGTTGACAGATTTTTTTGCCAAACTGCTTTTTCCAAGGTCTAGAATGAGCCTTCACATTCACCTTTTTTTTTTTTTTTTTTTTTTTTTACACATATCACTGTTCAGGTTCACTGATCAGTGAACCACGTCTTCTAAACTCTCTGACGCCTCACACTTCCATTAGGATCTCATTTGTCTCTCCACCATTTAAAGGCCCTACAGAACAGGAAACCAGTAACCCCCCCCCCGCCCCCCCCCAATCGACTCTGAGATGCCAGGAAGTATTTTGATTGATCTGATCCAACTGGTCAGATGTCAGACAGAAGCCGACTTTGACAAGGCAGCACTGAGATCAGTGGAGTATAAAAATCTGTCTCACGCAAATGGACCCAGCCCCAGAGGTGTTTTGTTCCCAGCCACCGGGGCTCCTGACACCAGCTGTGACTGTTGGCTGGTATTCATTGTGGCCTTTCAGTTTTGCAGACATTGTTTTTTGTGTCCTGCCTGACTCCCACTGGGTTTGAGGGTGCTGATATATTTCTGGCTTGAAGGGGAAATCTATTTCATCCCTTTATTTATACACATGACGTTTCTTTAAAGATTCATCTATTGTTATTAGAGGAACTATTTGTCAATCTCAGTTTTATATAATCTGATACCCTGTGACGGCAGTGTCAGCAGGAACTGGGACAGTTTATTTGGCCTGAATCTGGGGCGTCATTCATCCCAACACTCAGCCAAGTCGGGCAAGCGGGCGTGGCCCAATTTATTTCTTCCAATGTGCCAAATTTGGGCCGATGTTGGGCCAGGTCATGCTGTGATAGTAGCCTTGTAATGGCATTGTTGGCAGCCAGAATGGGGCCAGTTTATTTAGCCCAAATCTGGGGAGTCTTTCAGCCCGACTTATTTCTCCTGGCGCTCCAAATTTGGGCCGATGCTGGGCCAGGTTGCTTTGGCTACCTGGGTAATTATTATAAATTGAACTGGACCCATCTTTACATTATAACCTTCAGTAACATTAATATTTGTAAGGAAACAAAATGAGAAGCGTAATCATCAAGAAAAGACATTTTAACAGCAGCTCTGTTTCTGTGATTTCTAATCAACTTCAGGTGAAACAGGTGTGTTTTTCTCTCTCTTTAAAAACCGAAATGAGAGGCAATCACAGGAGCTGCTCTGTGTACTTCTCAGTATGACAATTAGCACCAAAAACATTTAGGTAAAACCCCTGAGGAAAATCATTCTGCAAAAAATTCAGATCAGTGAAAAGGCTGCAGCGGTGGGTCCCTGAGTCTGCGTTGCCATCTAGTGAGCAGAGGACATAACTGCAGATTTGTCAGCTTGTATGTGATCTCATAGTGACTGGTGCTCATGATAGCAAGATAAGGGATCAGTTTAGCTTTTTGTCCACATTGAAATGGTGCTAAAAATGAATGTGAAAGTTTGTATCAGTAAACATAAAGTAAAGAATTACTAAAATATCTTGCATACAACTGCGTGACTGCAAAGCTTCCTTCTCTTGTCTTTCCAGTTGCGCAACCACAGTATTCCAAAAGATATCATCTAATCCTATACCTGCATCTACACTCCCCCCTCTCCTGAGATAAATCTTCAAACCAGCCATGGAACAGAAGGCGAGTGAGGTATGTGGAAGCTTGAAAGACACAATCTTTGAGTCATGCTGGCGCTGTCTAATTTGATCCTCCCTGTGTCTTTGTTTCTCTCCAGTGTCCCTCCACCACCTCTCCTCAGAAGCACATGAAGAACAGGTCCAAATCCACAGAGGAGATGCAACAGACGAAGAAGGTGAGCTGCAGCCTGTGTTTCAAAGCTTATTTTTCACAGTTGCATACTTTTATACTCGGCTCATCTAATGTGACTGTCCTGTCTCACCTTACAGTCCTTTTCCTCACAAAAATCCCTACCAGGCAGACCAGAGCTGGAGAGAGTGAAGGTGAGCTGTTCAGGCATATTTCTGAACAGAGTGATGCTGTCATGCATGTATTTTTATGCCACTGTTTGATACATGTATTTTACATATATTTAAAACATGCAAATGTAAGCTGAGTTGGAGCTGTATTGCGTCTCCCTGTTTTTCAGGAGTGTCCCGACGGCTCTGACACGCCGTCGTCCTCCACGGAGGAACTGAAGGGATAACTGGAGGGACATATGAGTTGCCATCAAGTGACAAGATCATCATAAACACTACATACATTAAAATGTACATATGTACACAGGGAAACATAAAAACATTAGGAAAGGTAGTTGTGAACTAGATTATAAAAAAACACAAGCAATGAGCTTCTGATTGGTTGAAGGAAACGGTATAAAGACATGGTAAACTGAACACACAGACTCATGCACATTGAAACAATCGCATGTAAACAAAAGGACACCCGTGATGATGCTGTTTCATTGTACTGTGAGTATTGTATACATACCACACTGAACGTGTACTGACAATAAAGTGATGCTGTCGAGTGAATGTGTCTTTACTTTATGTCTTTTGATGTGATGCCAGGAAGTTGTTTTTGTGTTAGAGTGCGTGTGCATTGATCATACCTTAATCAGGATTGACACAACATGGGGACAACTAATGCTAGTTCTGAAAAGTCTGTTTCAGATCACTTCCTGGGGAGGGGGGTGGCTTTTAGAGATGATGTTCCCCTTTGGAGCCACAGACTGGGCCATGACAGGAAATAGCACAAACAAACCCCAGTTGAAAATATAAAACAAACATAGTGACAGGATGGGTATAAAACACAGCACACTACTAAGAAATGTAAAAAATAAATAAATAGTGGGTTAAATAAAAAATAAATAAACAAAGCTTAAAACACAAAATAAAATACAGCGGAGAGAAAACTGCAGTTCACTTTTTCTGTTTAACTTGCTATTTACACTTAGAATTAAAGCCTTCTAAAAAATACTTTTAGTTGTCAAAGGCACCTTATAGCGCCCCCCAGAGGTTACAGACTCACATTAAGGAAGTAAAGGGTTAAATAGAAATGTCAAAGCTCATGGCTTCTCCCGTTTGGCTGACAGTATACAGTCACTTTAAATCATACTATAGTGTAGTTTACTCCTTCTTACAACTGAGGAGTTATAATGTTGAGTGGAATCAAAAACAATTTAGCTTTTTTTTTTCTTCCTAAGATTGATTGTCTCACATGAAGATGAAGTTGTGTGCAATTCTTAAAAAACATATGGTTAAAATCTCCAGATACTGTGCCAAGATATTCCAACAAGTGGTCTGTCAAATGTAACAGACCCTGTTATCAAATCCTGCTTGGCACAAATAATAACATCTGTAGTCTTCTCGACATTAATCTTCAAATTAGGGCTGCAGCTACTACTACTACAATTCAGTTTGATTAAATTAGATTGAATTTTATGTATAAAGCCCAATATCACAAATCACAGTTGGCCTCAGAGGGCTTTTCAACTTGCATGGTCCCTGTGTCCTTGGACCCTCACCTTCAACAGAAAAACCCCTTTAACAGGAAAAAAATGGTAGAAACCTCAGGAAGAGCAACTGAGGAGGAATCCCTCTCCCAGGACGGACAGATGCACAATAGATGTCGTGTGCAAAACAGATCAACATGATAAAAGTGCAGTAATCCATATGACAAAATGATGGATGGATGCACAGCAACAGCAATAATAACAATAACTATAATAGAAATATGAATAATAGTGGTAGTATATGAAAGTGTATATGTTACATGTATATATTAACATATGATAGCATGTGACAATGATATATGTCTATAATAATGATAGAAGCAAGCATATTAGGGAGGACCACGATCCAGGCACAACTGTGATCCCTGGGAGCTCGTAACGTGCATTAATGGGACATAAAGATTGCAAATATAGAGAGAAGGAGAGGAGCTCAGTGTGTCATGGGAGGTCCCCCGGCAGACTGGGCCTGTCAGCCTAACCAGGGGCTGGTTCAAGGCAAGCCTGAAACAGCCCTAACTGTAAGCTCTACTTACAGAGGAAATTCTCAAGTCTACTCTTAAATGTGGAGACTACTACTAATTTAGTAAAGGCTAACATAATATGCCAATTATTTTAAAGGTCCACCAGTGTGTAGGATTTAGTGGTATCTAGCGGTGAGGTTGCAGAACAGAAACAGAAAAAGTTTGATTTGTCCATTCTGAGCTACTGTAGAACAACATGGTGGACTCTGTGGAAGAGGACTTGCTCTGTATATAGATAGAAACAATGTAACAACTGGTGAACCAGGTGAGAGTGGACTCAAACGCACGACTCTGGAGACAGTTCAGGTAAAATAACACAGTCTTTACTGGTCAAAGGGTAGGTTTGGTTCACAGAAGGACTGTCAGTGAAGGCAAACAAATCCAATAGGGATGAGGCAGAGGCAGAATTTATTGCCAGGCTGAATCTAAAAACCAAAAAAAGGACACTGGGAAACAAAAGGCTGCAACTCTATGACAAACTGGCAGTGAGAGAAAACAAGACGTACATCAAATACTCTGGTGAGGGGAAGGACAACAAGACACAGGTGAAGCAAATCAGAGCGGGACAGACAATCAGACACAGGTGAAGTCATCAAAAGGGAGGGAAAATACACAGAGGCAGGAAGTGAAGTGAACTGAAACGAGAGGAGATGTGAGTTTCAAAGTAAAACAGGAAACAACATGAATGAATTCAATAAAAAACAACCTAAAAATCACAACAATTCTTAGTTTCAGGTGACTGTAAACTAATAAATACATAACTATAAATATTGTAAACCATTTCTGCCAATAGATGCCCATAAATCCAACATACTGGACCTTTAATTTATTATTTTTTTGGTATATAAAATGTCAGAAAATAAGGGAACTACCCCATCACAATTATTTCGGGGTCCAAAGAGATGCCTTTACATAGTTTGTTTTCCAAACAGTCCAAAACTAAACATACTCACATCTGTCAGTCAGAGCTGGTGGATTTCTGTTGTTTTTTTAAAGTACTTAAACGATTATTCCTTTTAGCAAACAGTTGCAGCTAACTTCTCTGTGGATTTACTAGTGGATTAATTAACTAAATGTTTCAACTGTATTTCAAACTGCAGATTTTTTCACCAAGTCTGAAGAGCTTGTGATTGGGCAAAATATGCAGCCTCACTGAAGGGTGCAGTTTTCATGTCAATAGCATACTTGAACAAACAAAACCACAAACATTTCTTTATGAAAAGAAGTGTTGATGTCTGTGTATGACCTGCCATATGTCCAGAGATAATTAACTGACATGTTTCTATGACTCCCATCAATCAAACAGCAGACTGAGAGCTTACTGAAAGAGCATCATATGGTATGTCTCAGTGTAAGATTAACACAGGATAACACAACCACCAGAGGAGGACCAACACTGTGTACCTACTGCTCTTTGATTGGCAGGTGTTTTGAGTGGCAGGATGGTGTACGATGACCCGGTGGCCTCTGTTTGCTTCATCCCCAGGCTCCCTGTGACTTGCACATCTGGAGAGGGGATTAACAGCATCATGGGAGGGAGGGGGGTTTACCAAAAATCTCTGGAACAGCGCCAGAGATTTAGCCATGTGTGTATAAGTGATTACACATGTGTGTCAGTATGTGTGTGTACATCTCTGTGTTTCTTTCCTGCTGCTTAATGCTGCACCAGATCTAGAGGATTCACCCCCTCGCAGCCACTGAGTCCAGCTGCTTGCACAACAACAAAGCTGTTATCTCTCTGACTCCCACTTCTCATAACAGTTTAGAAAGTAACAGCTCTGGTCTAGTGGGTTATTAAGTTCTGCTCGTCTGCGTTCATGGATGCAAGTCTGAGGTCAGCAGGTTTGGCAGATTAGGTTGAGAGCACTGCTGATATGACAAAACCGTAGCTGGACTAATTGTTAACAATTACCCTGTTGCTCAGGCCATCACAATGTTCTCCCATGGCGAGGAGGACATTGGCTGTGGGTAGTGGGGTGTGTAAGTAAATGTGCGTACGTGTGTGTTGACAAGATCTCAGAAAATCTCCCTGATAGCTCATTTCCAATCACAACATGCTTGATCTTGAGTGCTGGCAAAGTACTTAAGCACCTGAATGTTCTGCACAAGTCAAGCAGATTACACTGTACGTGTTTGAAATACTTCCACTGACTGATCTCATGCAAGAAATGATCATTTAATACCCTGGCTTTAATCTGTGCCAAACTACAAGTACGTGATGAAAACAGCTATGTGAGAATATGAGTGGACTTGAGAGGCCTGTGCAGGAATGTTTTTCTTCCAACATTTACCACTAGGTGTCAGATTTCTCCTGCTCTTGCACGTGAAACTTGAAGCGCCTCTAACAACAGGGATCATTAATCCCATCAAACAGTCCTCTTCATCTTGGATTCTTTATCTAGCATCTAATCAGGTGAAAAATAACTGGTTGAACAACGTAATTCATCACCTAATGCACGAAGTGCTCTCCCAAGTCATGCATCATTAGCTTGAAGCTTTGTGTTATTGATTAACAATGAGACCTCTGATGATGGAGCAAGTTAATCGACACAAGAGGAGGTGTTACCTGGGAGCTTATTTAAAGATGATTCACAGTTTGGTTTGATGCTTTTCTGTCTGGGGGGGGGTCACACACAACACCTGAGACTGTTTGAGGCAAGGTAAGATACTTAACTGCATATGCCAATATCAAATATTTATTAAAAATAAAAGAAGAATCAGTCAATACCAAAGCTTTCGGTTGTTATTTGAGATGAATAATTTATTTCAAATGGAAAACTGGCCTTTTATCTAAAGCTGAGGGACCAACAGCTCATACATCCTTTAAAATGTTGGCACATCAGCCATCACTCACTGACAACTAAATGTTTCATTAATCCTTTTATTTTTCTTCTTCAAGTAAAACTCAAGTAGAAAGATTTTGGAAGGAAGCATGGAGATACATACATGTGAGTCACAGTGACTTTAAGGCAAACTCACAAATAGTACAGAGAGAAACAGATGAGAGGGGACAGGTAAATTAGATGATAACATTCAGCACACACACACACACACACGCGCGCACACACACACACACACACACAAAGTACATTCAGAGTGTATTCAGCTGCAATCTATGGAACTTGTCTCACACCCTCCCACATAAGAACCGACGTACATATGCTAACAGGGGCCTCTCATGCACATCAGAACCTGCAGGAGGATGCCACACAGAATGGGAATGATGTAGCGACTGTAATCACTATAATTTGGACAGCTGTAATTACTGAACTCACTTCCATCCTCTTTGCTTTACAGAGACGCATTAGTACTCCCTCCTCCACTGGAGTCCCCAAAATATGGCAAAGTGGCTGACATGAAAAGGGGGAAAAACGGCTCTCTTTAAACCGAGAGCGTGAAAGTCTTTGAAGGGAGTCGCTGCTCTATAGACAGTGGAGAGTCCCTTTAAGATCCGACTTGCAGCTGCAGGAAACGGGGGACAAGACAAGTTACATGGATGCTGATGTTTCCTTATTGATTCTGACAAGGCGTTCATCTGTTGAGAGGCGAGACGATGCCTCACGGTGTATTTAGTTTAAGTGTGTGATTTGACCTCAAATCAAGGACAGATGCCAATTACAGCCAACATAGGCCGCCTTTGTTCCCCTCTAATTTCTTGTCTGTCTGATCTCAGTGGAGTGGTGAGGGGTGGACTTGCCTTGTGTGCAGATATATTGGTCTCCTCTGGTTTCTTTTTCCTGCTGCAGGTGGCTGATAAACACAATCAGTCTCGCATGTTCCCTCTCCAACAGTGTCATCCTGTGATTTTAATTGCCTCCGTGTCTCTTCACAGCATCCAAGGTACCATGTCCTCTCGATCTATAACTATAGTGTCCTCTGGGCGGAGCACAGGACTCAACTGCAATGGTGACTCTCAGTTCCCATCATTCTGTTTTTTGTGTTTTTGAAATACTTCAGAGCTGATCTTCCCCCAGTTGTAAACTCTTGTTATCTGTTATCAGGGGTGAGGATGCATGGCACTCAGCTCTCCTCACAGCCCAAGCTCCCGCAGGAGGAGGACAGGGAGTCTGGTCTCGGCTCCACCCTTGACCTCAGTAGCAGCTTCGAGTGTTCCAAGCAACATACCAATCATGGCTCCAGCAAACCTTCGCTCAGGGAGGCAGACATGCTCCCTAAAAAGAAAGGTACAAGAGCGGTGTGAAGAGGAGAATCACGCGTTCACGTCCTGGGTTGGCAGCAGGTCTGATCTCTCTGGAAAGGCAAATAACAAGAGCAGAAGCCGAACCGCATGCTCATTAGATAAGGACATGCTCAAAAGACACACAGGGTCAGTGGGATCACGCAGTCTGGGCAACAAAGGCAAAGTCCTGCTGTCACTCAGCAGTATTTGACTGCATATGGGTAATGTAGTATGTCAGATGGCTCTGCTCTCTATATGTGTGAGTGCTTACTGGGGCTATCGCTCATCTGCAACACACAAATCACAAGAATGAGAAATAGGGCAAAGTAGTGTCCAGACACATAAACATTTTTGTCTCATCCGTGGTATAGTTTTTGATAACTTTCCACTCCACTGTAGGAGACCTTGTGAGAGTAAAGCATCTCACTGTTTGTTGTTGTTGTTGTTGTTTTGAACAGACAGCTCTCTACAGACCACAGGAGGGAGTCCGCACAAGATCAAGCAGCTCCTTATCAATCTATCCAAGATCCCTCTCCTCCTCATCCTCCTTTTTCTCTTTGTATGCTCTTTGGACACTCTGAGCTCTGCCTTCCAGTTAGCAGGGGGTAAGTACCATAACCCTCACTGCCCCCTCAGCGGGTTGATAGTGACTCAGCCGGCTGATGTTTGACAAATAAGTGAGTCACTGCAGAACAGTTCACACTGTCCTGCCGGAGCCGTGCTCTGTAATTTACCGTAAAGCTTCATAGGTTGACCTTTTTGGATTTGGGGAAACAAGCAGTTTGAATCTTGTTTAACATTGCTCTTGGCAACCTTGTCATGTCTGAGACCAGCATTTTTTTTTGTGTGTGTGTGTTTCTTTGTGTATGTGGGCGGCATATTTAACCAGGTAAAGTGGCTGGGGACATTTTCCAGGACAATGCGGTGCTGTCTAACCCTGTGGCAGGGTTGGTGGTGGGAATCTTGGTTACTGTGCTAGTCCAGAGCTCATCCACCTCCACCTCCATTGTCGTCAGTCTCGTGGCCTCCGGATGTGAGTAGACACATAAAAGTGTGTGTATGTGTAAATGTGCAAGCACCATGTATCATAGCACAAGTTATTTTAGGTTTTAAATAAGACTCTGAAATGTCTGGCCTCATTTAGTCTGATATATATGTTGTGTATGTGTGTGTGTGTACTGTATACACTGTATGCCTGTGTCTCTCTAGGTTATTATTTTACATGGAAACATATAGTAAATAGAAAAACAGTAACACAGTAATAAATACAGAAAAGCCCCCCGTGGTGTATAAGTGGCAATAACAAATAGATCTAATTAATTTCTGGTTTATGGTTATAATCTTGGTTTTCTGGCTCCCTGCCCCATGTCATGCTGTGCTGGGCCTATGGAGGATAAAGCAAATTATGCTACATGATTTGCTGCGAAGCATTAAGGACCAAATTAGCAAATATGGTTTTGCTCAAATGCATAAATATGGGCAGATGAATGTGTATTAAGACAGAAGAAGATTTAGCTCTGTAAATATACACATAACCTACATTAGAGTTCACCAGCAGTCAAGTTTAAACTAGCAGACGTGCACTCTCCTTGTAACATAATTTAAAGGACAAGGCTGGTGTTATTTTAGATTTGTCGTATTGTTAACAAATCCCATGAATTTTCAATACTTTGCAACTTCCTGTCTGTGGTTCTCAACTCCAGGCCCATTTGTTCTCACCAACGACAAAATCTTGTGCTTGAAATCCAAATTTTCAGTTTTAAAAGGGCAAAAAATGATTTCCTGAAACACCTGGGCACTGTAGTTTTTATCAAACTTTAATCAAACAGGAGTAAATACAGCATTTGTCAGGGACTATTTTCAGATGTGGATTAATACACATTTGATGCTCTTGTATTTTCAGTAGCCAAAAGGTGTATGTGGGACTGACTCAAAATAAACTACAGTGCCTGTGTTCATCAAAAGCAAAGGGGAGCATGTCAGGTGGTGCTCATGGCTCATGGCTCACTGATGTGTCTGCAGCTCATCATAAACTGTATAAGGTTTGGAATACATTATTATTATTTTTTTTGTCTTTCAATGGGATCTTTTTGACAATAAGAAAAATTTAAAATATCATCAGCATTATCCTCTACATTTAATGAAAACGACTTAATTATTAATAAGATAAGATAAGATAAGATAAGATAAGATAAGATATACTTTAATGATCCCCCAGAGGGGAAATTCAAATACCACAGCAGCACTAGACAAACACAAAAAGACATTAAATAGAATAAGACAAAAGAGAAAAAAATGAAATAAAATGAAATAATAGCAAATGAATAAAAAGATAAAATTAACGTAAGCCACCACCAATTTCAACCAAAAATATCATGACATCCACCCATCAATCAATCTGCAACATTTAGCCGAAAAGAGCTAGTTACAGAGCTAGTAACAGTATGCTAAGTCCATGTGTGTCTGTTTCCCCAAAATTGTTATGGGCCCTCTGGCTAGAAGGTATTCACTTGAGGAAATGGTGTGACATCTATCCATCCATTCATTTTTCATCTGCTTATCCGGGGGCCAGGTCACGGGGGGAGCAGGCCAAGCAAAGCACGCCAGACGTCCCTCTACCCAGCAACGCTATCCAGATCCTCCTGGAGGACCCCAAGGCGTTCCCAGGCTAGATGAGATATGTAGTCCCCTCAGTGTCTGATCGCTGAAATCTGTGACAGCTTTTCGGCCGATTGAGCATGTTGAATCGGTGGCGGAGCTTGTCGGTGAGAGAGATCTCTCTGATTGGCTGTTCAGGTTTTACTTACTCGCCCCTGTAGCGAGTGAATCTGCCTGTAGTGAAACCAGGGTGCAGTGCTTCGTCCTCAGGCTCCACTTCACTCAGCTGCCCACAGACCCGCTGCTTCTTTCCATTTTAACCTGAATAACAAACTGGAGCTAGCTGGGAGTGGCTAGCGGAGCGTTAGCTACAGCATGACCGGAGGGAAGCACAGCCAGTTAGCCTCCGCTAGCCTCTGAGCTAGCCCCGGCTCTCCGTTTGGATCCAACCGAAGCATCGAGTCCTGGTTTGTTATTCAGGTTAAAGTGGGAAGAAGCAGCGGGTTTATCGGGCAGCTGAGTGAAGTGGAGCCTGCGGAGGAAACACCGGGACCGTCTGGATGTAATAGTCCGTGGAGGGGCTGCGGTGCTCGGCTGCACAGATAGGAAACCCCTCTGCTGACAGGATGTATCACACTCTCACTCTGCTCTCTCTCACCCAGGCGCAGAACATACGTGCCACTTGGCTATCGGATGTAGTCCGTGTAGTGTGTTCAAATGCAACTGACACAGGGTGACGCGAGGTGACATAGACGACGCAACAGTTGGCTTTCGTCCCCGCTAGTTCTTTGATGTCGGTTTGGTGTGTCAGCATCTTTAGGATTTTGGAGCCAGAAGTGACCATATTTGGGTGAGAGGTCTGAGCTGTGAAGGAGCGAGGGGTGGATGTGACTGAGAAGCCAAGGACACTATTGGCAGACAGCCTGTCACTCAAAGTGGCCATGCCCTTAATTATGTGCAGTTATGGCACTTCCTGTCGGCTTCATGTTTTAGCCCCAGTGTCTGCCGCTTGGTGTGTACCCAGCAGTTCTCTGTAGCTCTACTGAACTCTAAGCCCCCCCACTTTTGGTGGTCCAATCAAATACGAAGGATTAATTTAAATCCACCTCATAACTTCAACGCTCGATTGATTAGGAAATACCTCACAGTATAGAAACTAAAGAGACTCTAACTTCCGTTTTACGGGACTTTAATCTTCCTTTCATGCGATTCTTACCACACACTGACTGACTGGCCATTTGTAAAAACCAACTGAGAATTATCGTAATCCAACAGGTTGGATTTGGGGTCAGAGAAATAATGAAATCAAACAATTTCACACCCTGTAATCTCCCACCATCTCGGTCAGTCTAATTTATCATGCCTCATATGACCATTACGTGGCGAGGTTATGACCTGTCTGTTTCTAATGAACGCAGGCTCTGAGGTCTCTCCTCCTTCGTCTACGTGGTTAAGGTGAATGATATCAGTATGCAGTAGCTGCCTCTCTGCTTCTAAATCCTTTCTGTAAGAGACATTAGGAGAGAGATTATATGCAATTATCGAAGAGAAAGAGACCGAAAAGGCATGGATGTGTGTATGAGCGAATGTGTCCTGTAGGTCATCATCATTAAAGGCATTCTCAACAATGAACATCCCTGCAGAGTGTGAAGGCTAAGCTGCCTCCACTTGTCTGCAAATTACGATCGCCTTTCATCCCTATTAAAACTCCTGCTCCACACTGAATTGCGGAGGGTCATGTCTTATTAATACGTGCGTGATGCATTACCATTCACAATGAAGGCAGACATTTACCTGTTTGAAATGTTTTCACTGTATATGCATATACTTTTACGAATAATAACTTCCAAGTGAAATGTATGTGTGGTCTCACTTCACAGTGCTAGAAGTGCGGTCAGCCGTTCCGATCATAATGGGGTCCAATATTGGGACTTCAGTCACGAACACCATAGTGGCAATGATGCAAGCAGCAGAGAGGAGCGAGTTCGAGCGGTGAGTGAAGTAAGGTGGCGAGGCAGAGGATGAGTGCAGGGGAAGAGCAGGGAAGAAGAAATTGAAAAAGAAAAGTGAAGAAGATAAGTGGTCTAGATGGAGGAAAGGAGGATAAAAGTGTTGAAAGTGCAAGAGAGAAAGCAGAGGAGGGTGAAGAGAAAGCATTAGCAGCTGCTCGCTGCCTCTTTGCTTCAGCCTCCATTTGAGTGTAATTTCTACAACAGTGACAATAATGGCACCGATCCACATTGATCCCACACCAGTAACCCTTTGGCATGAAAATATAAGGCACTGAACAGATGGCATGTTGCTTAATCTGTGCCTGGTAAAATAAGCATGATTTATTAAACTTTCATAACATACTCACACACTGAGTCAAAATAAAATGCTCATTACATCACACACTTTCAAAAAAGTTGAGCCACGAAAAGCAGATTAACAAGCAATCATTTGGAGTAGTTGATCACGCTGATGGCCGACCTTAGGTAACACAAAAAATAATTGCAATCCACTGCAGTGCCTTCGCTGGGGCAACAATCCACGACTGCTTCAACTGGCTGTCGGTGCTGGTTCTGCTGCCGCTGGAGGTGTTGAGTGGCTTCATGGCTCGGCTGTCACACCTGCTGGTCACCAGCTTCAAGCTTCAACCGGGGGAGGAAGCACCTGAGCTGCTCAAGGTCATCACAGAGCCAGTCACCAAGCTCATCATACAGGTAAAACTAGCAGCCCATTGATCAGTTTCGTGACTGACGATTTATTAAATACCTCCTTTAAACAGCAGCCTAATTGTCCAATCACAGCTTAGCAACCATAACTGTATGGCAGGTCTGTCAATCTTTGGATTTTGTAGAAAGAGTGATACTGGGTGTCTTTTTTTACTTTCCAAAACCAAAAACACAGAGGCATAAGTGTAAGGATTTGACTTTACACATTGACTTTATCTGCTCTAACCACAGACTGTGTATAAAGATGGACAAGGTTCATCCACTTACTCAGACTGTACAAAAACCCCCCAAAATATCCAGAATACAGCCGCTGCCATCTTGTGCTGATGACATAGGTTGGAGTCAGAGTCTGCACGGTAGTGATCTCCGACCTGATTGGCAGGCATAGGTGTGAATCATGACCCCAAATTCCCTTTCTATAGCATCAAATAATTAATTAAAACCAAAACTTGTAGGCCTATGTACAGCAGTGCAATTAGAAGTACCTAAAATGACAGAAATCATCTTAGGATTGACTTACTTACTTTAACTTTTTAGTTTGGCCCATATCCTATCTGCTAAAGTGGAGGGGGCGGGGCTTATGACCTTTATTGAAGTCAGCTACCAGACGGTAATTGAGATGTTTTTGGTTGTCATGTCATCAATCTTTGTTATACAGTCTATGGCTAACTAGCTTACTGCCTACAGTCACAGAGTGGCTTTGCAGGCCAATAAGCATCAACCCAGTCTCACTTGGTTGGTGACTTCCGGCATCAGACACTGACAAATAAAGCCCTCCTTTCACATCGGCGTGATACACGTTAAACAATAGCAGTGCCCAGCGGTGTCAGGGGGAAACGCAGTGGGACAACATTGAAAGTTAAGGTGGCAGAAGTCCAAGTAGAGCGGATGGGAGGGGTTGTGGATGGGTCCAACAACTACTGACTTTCACCCGGAAGGCCGGTGTTTGCTTCCCATAAGATTCTAAAGCCAAACCCCGTTCTTTTTTCCTCTGCTCAACTACGTGCTTTTGTTGCCTAAACCCAACCATGTGTGTTTGTTGGCAAAACATAACCAAGTGTGTTTGTTGTTGAAAGAAAAAAACGTCAATTTGCATTGTTGTACCAACGAGGTATGTAAAAGGAAGAACTTAACATAGCATCCTGGAATGTCAACAACCAGGGAACCCAAGGTACCTTGCATGTCATATCTTAACATGGAAAGTCTATGACCAAACATCATTTTGTGGCAAGGTTGGCGTGAGAATGTGTTGCAAGCACAGGTTACCTTGACTTGTGGGTTGCAGATTCCATTATAAAACTAGCACATCCACTGTGCAGTATTTCCCCACTATGCAGAGGCCAGCTGTGGATGCTAACATTACAGAGGTTAGGTTAACCTGCTCTTTAAGCTATATAGGCATCAAGTTTATTTTTTTAAACCTCTACAAGAGTGTCATTTTATACGGAAGCGCATTGCATTCACTTGACAAATAAAAAAAGCCATGTTTTTCGGAGTAATTTATTTATTTTTCTGTTTTTTCATGGTAATTTTTCTTCATGAACGAGGAGACGAGATACTTAAATAATTAAGTGCCTTACCCTTATTGATCCCATAGTTGAAATTGTCTAGGAGCAGGAGCACGGATGCATGACCAGGAGTTACCATGGATGCAGGGATCACTTGCAGGTGCCATGTGGGAGCTTCTCGTGAGATTTTGAAGTATCTCGTCTCCTCGTTCAGGAAAAAAATTACCACGAAAAACAGAAAAAAATACCACAAAAAACAGAAAAAAAATTATCACGAAAAACAGAAAAAATTACACCAAAAAACAGAAAAATAAATAAATTACTCCGAAAAACAGAAAAAATACTCCAAAAAACAGAAAAATAAATAAATTACTCAGAAAAACAGGGCTTTTTTAATTTGTCGAGTGAATGCAATACACTTATGTAATTTTAAAACCAGTCAGCTGGAAACATAAAATTGTCAGGTATGCCAAAAGAAAGTGTTCATGCACAGCGAAAAAGATCCAAAGCAACAGAACACATGTTATTTTCTAAACATAAACTTTTTTTTTTTACCAAAAATAATATATTCAGATGTAACCTCCTTGTTATCACCAACATCCTGATTAGTAACATTAATTACATTTTTTTTAGTAACTGTAGCAGATTATAGTTACATTCATTCTGTAATTTAAATGTATCCATTATCAGACAAAGAAATGTAAAATTGTGACTTTAAATGCATTGGACTGAAATGTCAGGCTCTCCTGAGTAGAATGATGTATGGTACTTGATGCTGACTGCTCAAATTAGTTAGAAAATCAAAATAAACTCAGGAGAGTCAGGTGACCCTGAAATTGTTCAGGGTTAATTACATTTAACTAGTTTTTAAAGGTGCTATATAAATAAAGTTAATATTATTATTATTATTATTATTATTATTAGTTACTCCCCAACACTGCCTGATGCTGAGCTCACAGCATCAAAGTTGAGCTGGCCTCGACTTTTTCCAGCGCTCCAGTGATGCAGTGTAGTATCAACCAGTCATATTTTTTGTCTCTAGCTGTGGTGCTGTGTTATGTAGCAAAGTTGGCTGAGGCCACACTGTAGCTGTTGGCCCATAGTGTGAACACAGCAGCAGTGTCTAGCACAGCTGTGATGGGAATTGAACTCAGGCTTTCTGGTGGAAAGACTGAAGGTTTTAATACTTTCACCCTGCTCTCCTTTGACTCACTGAACTTTAAGGATGAAAAATATTTCTCCTTTCACCTTCAGCTGGACAAGTGTGTGATCACAGGGATCGCCATGGGAAATGAGGACATGAGGAACAGGAGCCTGGTGAAAGAATGGTGCCAGACTGACCTTGTTATGGTAATGGCCCCGTCTCCGCTGCTGTCTCCTGCACACGCAGACACATTGTGTCACACATTGGCGCCAAATAGAGCCTGACGCTGTCGCCAGTGAAAACTGTGTTGCTAATTTGTGTTTTCCTCACAGATGCTTCTATCTTTCTTTCTTCCTTTCTGCAGCCCACTGATAATGTGAGCACTGCAAACTGTGGCCCCAGTCATGACTTGTCCCAGTCATCACTGAAGTGTGAGTTCAAACTCAATATTATCTGTAACACTCCCTCTGTTGTGAATTATACAATTTAATCTAGTAGCATTTTCTTCTTAAAAATAAAAGAAAATGTGTGTTGTTGGATAATTTCCTCATGATTGCTGTTCCTGTCACTCTGCAGGTAAGCATTTGTTTGTGTCTTCCGGGCTGTCAGATCTCACAGTGGGCCTGATTCTACTGGCAGGCTCTCTGGCTGTCCTCTGTACCTGTCTGATGCTTCTGGTCAAGCTGCTCAACTCTCTCCTTAAAGGCCAAGTCGCAAAGGTTATCCATAAAGTCATCAACACAGGTGGGCGTGCTCTTGAACCGCTCAAGATTTTACACAGTGTATCAACATGTAGCAGCTGAATATGCAGATGCAGTTTTCAAATGAGCAAACAAGCCAAGAAAACCTTTATAAGCTGCTTTGGATGCAAATTACAGCAAACAGGCTGTGAAGATACAAGTACTGATGTGTTTCTTTTTTGTGCACTGATGTGGATAATTTCAGTCTCTCCTCTCTTTGTCTCAACAGACCTGCCATATCCATGTGGGTGGCTGTCAGGGTACATGGCCATGTTTGTGGGTGCGGGGGTAACATTTGTGGTCCAGAGTAGCTCTGTGTTTACTTCAGCCATGACTCCCCTAATAGGTGGGTGAAATATGCTTTTGCTTATGACAGATTATACACTATATTCTATGGAAATTAAGTTAAAACATACAAGATACAATGTCAACATGAGAAATGTGTAGTTGATAAAACTCATCAAAGCCTAAAAGCATGGACATCTATGTGCAGAAAATACATATGCCACACAATAAACATGACATTTTGTTATGCTCTGTCATTAAAGCCTCATACATTTGTTATTTCGGTGTGTTAAACTTGTATAAAGTATGATGACATGAGACATTTATTATGACACATACCCTGCTGTCACCAAAATGTTATGTAGTACCAACATCTGTCAAAACTAAAATGACAGATTCGAAGGCAAATGAATAAACAGACACATTTAGCATTCATTATAATCAATTTAAGTACATTTAAGTGCATGAGCAACACTTCCAATGCTTTTTTTTTCTTTCTGCGAAACCGTGTGGTTTTATTCTACAAAACACCAGAACTGAGAATAAACAACATAGTTAAAGATTCAGCGATGACATGCAAAGTGAGTTCACAGTGGGTGACTGCTTCCAGCAAAGAGAGCAAAGTGACTTGTAAAATCACAGTATTTATCGGCTGCTGCAAGATTTCACACAAACGCTCTTTGTTCTTTGTTGGATTTGTTTATACTGTCATGACATTTAAGGATAGCATTAAAACGTCATAAATTCTCAGTGACCTTAAGCACTTAAGGGTTTTCGCACTTATGTCCATCTCACTTAAAGCTACGGTTGGTAACTTTTATGAAAATATTTTTTGTCAGATTTGCTTAGACTGTCACTATATCCACACGGTAGTACATAAGATAGATAATCTGTGAAAAAAAAAGTGTTACACTGCCTCCTTGTAGTAATTCAAATGGCACTACTGCACGTGAAACATAGACTGTATATAAAGATAGACAACACGTCTCCACTACTATACAGAAGTGAAGCTAAATTATCCAGGATACGGCCGCTGCCATCTTGCTCTGGTGGCGTCATTTGGAGCCAGAGTCTGCACAGTATCAACCTCCGCAGTATCAAGTACCCCTCCCATACACCTGTCTGACCAATGTGTTGTGACCAGCAGTACTGAACGTGAGCCCACTAATTGGCTCACACAGTTGTCAGTGATGTTGTAAAATGGCCGTTTTATAGTATTAAATAACTAATTAAAAACCAAACTCATCAGAAAAATGAACATTTGAACATACAGCAGTGTGATAATGACACAGAACCATCTTCAGGAAAAATTAATGTGATGTGTACTTTTAGTTTTAGTGGGCCAGTGTCCCATACACTAATATGGAGAGGGTGGGCTTTATGACCTGTACTGCAGCCAGCCACCAGGGGGCGATCCAGATGTTTCGGCTTTACTTCTGGGGAGCTATAATGTCATCTATCTTTATATACAATCTATAGCCTAGCCCTTTTTAAACAGGAATTGTGCAGATTTCCAGGAAAGCCCAATCAGTCTTCGTTCAGCATTGGCAGTATAAAACAAAATCGGGGAGTGCAGCAATATGCCGCCTGCCTACTTTTGTTCATAGAGAATGTGCCTTTTTCGGGGCAATGGACGTGAGCAAGCAACAAAACGTGCGGCTCAGCATGTGACGTAAAAAGCCTTGCTCCGAGGGAAGCTGCGACAATTCTCTCGTAAGTCGGCCGTCAACTTTTTTCAGCTTCATACGCCACTTAGCAACTCCCATAGGAATGAACGGGGCCCCACCTCCGACGCCGTATCTAGTTCTTTTTATATATTTATGTTTTACAGCTAAACAGTGCACTTCAATATGTTTGTGAAAACACTTGAGATCAAAAATAGGCTCTGATTGGTTGTTTTCTGTGAGCTGTGGCGGATTCAAGTACATGCCAGAAGCACACGGAGTGGGAGAACACACTTGATATTTTCTCAGACTGTCTGTCTCTTGTACTTCTGTGCGGATGTAGTGACACTTTCAGCAAATATGACAAAAGTTAGTATTTTATAAAAGTCACCAACTGCATCTTTAAGTGGCTGCTAATAGCCAAAGTGTGAACACAGCAGTAGATCAAGTTGCTGCATGGCTTTGTTTTAGTGTCTTGGATGTGCAGTATCTTCCTTCCTCATGACCACCACCCACCTCAGTGACCACAGGAGGTCAAACCATTTTCAAACACCCCGAGCTATTAAAAGCTGAACAATATCAATTTAACCTTGTACAGTGTCATCACCTCTGTGTGAGTGTGAAACCTGAGGCGGCGTTGCTTGGTTATTAAAGTGTAAGAGATATATGAGTGATGTTAAATGACTAGTTGATCCCTGGCAGTTGTCCACCACTTTATTCTCTCTGAAGAAATACTTGCAGGCAAATTGGATGGTTAGTCATAGCAGCCTGACGGGTAATTGGTGGTACTTTCGTTGGTTTTACATCAATATATAGATGGAAACCAACCTTAATTGCCATATAAGATTTTAGTAATTCATAACACTTTATAGTCTTTCATTGCAACTTTACTTTGTGATTCAGTAGAAGTGTACAAGGCTTCAAAGTGGGAGTCTTGTGTGACTAATGCCAATGTGACACATTATGTCTATGTGCTTTCTGTGTGTAGGATCAAAGGATATGGCACTGTAGATGAAGAAGGAACAAAGCAAATTCAAACATAATTCACAGTGCACCAAAGCAGTGAGCTTGTTCATACTTATGACTTTACTTTTCCAATAACGTAACCTCAGGTGCTCGCTGCCCACCTGAGTGCCACACCTGTTTCTCACTGTCCAGCTTGACTCTGCTGCTCAGTTAGTTTTCTCCTGTTTGTGTCGGCTGATCCTGGTGTTTATGATGCGGGGGCGATCCCAGCACCTGCCCAGTCTGAAGGTTGGACTGATGTTAAGTTTCTTCACATCCTGACCCCACAGTTATGTTTTATTTGGTGCAAGCCTTCGTGGAGTCTCTTGTAATGTCTTATTAAACTGGACTCTAAATGTGCAGAGTTTCAGATCTCATCCTTGAGCTGGCCAGCAATGTGCAGAGGTGGCGATCAATCATGTTACATGCCTGAACTATGCTTCTGGCATTTGAGATTTGCCACTGCGTTTGAGAGCTCAGACGATCTTTTACATGCAGTGTACTGTATGTCAGTTTGGGATCACTTTGTTTTAAAGGTCCAGTGTGTAGGCTGTAAGGGGATATATTGGCAGAAACAACCTATCCAACTCGTCAAATACCGATGCTTGGACAGTGGCCCTCTGTGTCAGATACCAACGCAGAACGGCACTCTTTAGCATCAAAATGAGATGCACTGGGCAGCGGCATATTTTGTTGCTCAAAGCAACTGCTGTAGTACCAAAAGCGAAATAAGTCAGCATAAGGTGGGAGGTAAGAGGGGTGGATGGGTCAAACAACCTCCGGACTTTCACCTGGGAGACTGTTGTTCTTGCCCCGTGAGAAACCAAAAGTTATTTTAATAATAACATAGCGTGCTAGTATGTTTAGCATACTACGCTAGTGATGTAAGCTATGTCACATGACATGTGTGACATACACTGCCTGGCCAAAAAAAAAGTCGCCACCTGGATTTAACTAAGCAAATAGGTACGAGCCTCCTATTGGATAATTACTGCATGGGCGATTATCTTTCAGCTGGCAACAAGTTATTTAACCCCAACTGGTGCAATGAGTTGCTTCTCATTTCCTAAACAACCATGTCGAAAGACACATCCCGTGGTCGTGGAAAAGATGTTAGTCTGTTTGAGAAGGGTCAAATCATTGGCATGCATCAAGCAGAGAAAACATCTAAGGAGATTGCAGAAACTACTAAAATTGGGTTAAGAACTGTCCAACGCATTATTAAAAACTGGAAGGATAGTGGGGACCCATCGTCTTCGAGGAAGAAATGTGGCCGGAAAAAAATCCTCAATGATCGTGATCGGCGATCACTTAAACGTTTGGTGAGATCAAATCGAAGAAAAACAACAGTAGAACTCAGGGCTATGTTTAATAGTGAAAGTAAGAGCATTTCCACACGCACAATGCGAAGGGAACTCAAGGGATTGGGACTGAACAGCTGTGTAGCCTTAAGAAAACCACTAATCAGTGAGGCTAACCGGAAAAAAAGGCTTCAATTTGCTAGGGAGCATAAAGATTGGACTCTGGAGCAATGGAAGAAGGTCATGTGGTCTGATGAGTCCAGATTTACCCTGTTCCAGAGTGATGGGCGCATCAGGGTAAGAAGAGAGGCAGATGAAGTGATGCACCCATCATGCCTAGTGCCTACTGTACAAGCCTGTGGGGGCAGTGTTATGATCTGGGGTTGCTGCAGTTGGTCAGGTCTAGGTTCAGCAACAGTATGTGCTCAAAGAATGAGGTCAGCTGACTACCTGAATATACTGAATGACCAGGTTATTCCATCAATGGATTTTTTCTTCCCTGATGGCACGGGCATATTCCAAGATGACAATGCCAGGATTCATCGGGCTCAAATTGTGAAAGACTGGTTCAGGGAGCATGAGACATCATTTTCACACATGGATTGGCCACCACAGAGTCCAGACCTTAACCCCATTGAGAATCTTTGGGATGTGCTGGAGAAGGCTTTGCGCAGCGGTCAGACTCTACCATCATCAATGCAAGATCTTGGTGAAAAATTAATGCAACACTGGATGGAAATAAATCTTGTGACATTGCAGAAGCTTATCGAAACAATGCCACAGCGAATGCGTGCGGTAATCAAAGCTAAAGGCGGTCCAACGAAATATTAAAGTGTATGACCTTTTTTTTTGGTGGTGACTTTTTTTTTGGCCAGGCAGTGTATGTCATGTGATGCTAAATTACATTAGTAACAAACGTACTTATTTAAACCCAACCATGATGCCTTTTTCCAAACCTAACAATGTGCTATTGTTGCCTAAATCTATGGAAGTAAACCTAAAAACAAAATGTTTTACCTACATACAAGACCGTCACAAGCATAAACTGTACATTTCCTGCGAAAAAGGAAGTTTATTTGGAAAAGATACGATGCATGTAACAAGTGTAAATTGACATGGGGTCCCTGAGCATCCAAAACTGACACTCGAGCATCATAGTTTGACGTGTAGGGCCACTGACCAAGCCTGAATGCATTGGCAGAAATGGAATATAATATTCATAATATGTTTTCAATAGTGTGTAAACACCTGAAACTAAGAACTGTTGTGTTTTTGTAACCTTATTATGAGCCATTTATAGCGACATAAGGAGTTGGTCCTCTCCCATGGAATCCATCATGTTGTTTCTTTGGACAAACCAAACACTGGTTCTAGATAGGGCCATTCACATTTCACATTTTTGTGTCAACAACTGCAGTTCTCCTACACCAGGGGTAGGCAACCTGCTCCTCCAAAACCCTATGTGGCTCTTTAGCCCCTCTCCAGTTTCTCCCTGTGGCTTTGACAGAAAATGAATAACCGTTTTTTTTAATTTTTTTTATTATTATTGTTATTTAAATTTTAATTTATTGTTGTAGGCCTAAAGTGATTCTTACATTCTTCAACTGTAAAAATGCGTAGCCTTTACACTGATTAAAATAAATGTTTTTAAACATTTCGTCAACTAAAATGTGCATCATATGTTGGGCCTGACGCCATTTCCTCTAAAAACATCACTAGCAATTGCTGCAGTCGTCTTCAGTCTGCCTAGCCAGGCTAGCTGTAGATTCCAAATTGAAAGAGGCAAAATCAAAATAGAAAATGTAACAATGCATGGACAAATTTGTTTGCTTTAATTGGCAACACTGCAAAGTAAAGTAACAAATAATAATAAAAAAAGCCCACTTCATGTTGCCACCTTTTGCTAAAACATATTAATGAATGCTTATTTAGATCTAATAGTAATGTTGATAAGCTAAATTTGACTTAAAAGGCTGTGTTACCTTTATTTTGAGGCTCTAATATGTTTTGCGGCTCTAGATAGTAAAGGTTGCCGACCCCTGTCCTACACACATGGCACCTGGGAGAAGTTTCAGTGGGTTGTAATCTGTGGCCTCACCACTAGATGCCTTTAAATCCAACACACCAGATCTTTGGAGTTGGGGTTGGAATTGGGGGGTTAGATCACCACATGTTTCCTGAGCGCGGCACCGCTGCTGCTCACCGCTCCCTCAGGGGATGGGTCAAATGCGGAGAACAAATTTCACACATTCAGTTGTGTGACAATCAGTGGAACTTTACCTTTACCTTTACCTTAAAGTTGCCATAGCAGAGAGAGAACGACTAAAAACAGCAGCAAATAATTTTTACTGTCAATCAAACCTGGAAGAATTGCTGCTGTAAATCAAGCAGCTCGTAAAGTGGGCTGCTGTTTCCAAGGCCACTGTTTTATCCCCCAAGTTATAAATTCCAACACCACAACCTCTAAACAGACATTTACTGCTACAGTTATAAATTATTAACTGTACATTGAACAAAGGTTTACCCAATTGCTCCTGTCATGTAATTAATGACTAATTTAATTTAGTGTGTCCTCATACTAGCAGGAGAATACCTCAGATTTCCTTGTTTGCTTACAGCTCATTTTCCATCTAGATGGGGCCAAATAAGGACATAAATCTGCTTATTTCCACTGATTGAGTCTTGTGGAGTTTGTAAGAACATTTTGCAGAACCGGCACTGTATGCCACTGGCTAAATGAAGCACATAAAATCAGTGATGACTGAGTCATCAGCCTGCTACTCACTGATAAATGTGAGATGGGAATCATGTTTCATTTTAAACAGGAATAGTTAGAGGCCTGGGAAGAAAGCTAAAAGGCAAGAGGCATGGATGATTTCCAGTCTGCAGATATACTTCATTAAATATTTCTGTTAATTTTACTTTAGATTATAGCTTCACCTCCCCTTCAACCACTGCTGTCACATCACGTATTGAGAGAACCTTTAAAATAAAATAAAGAGTACAATTTCGGCAGTTTCAACTACACAGATAGATGCTAAAGCAGCATCGACCTACTTTGGTTGTCAGTTGCTGTCAAGCAGCCACTCATTTGATAGTCGTTAGTCATCTTATCTGGCAAAGTTATATTTCAGCCTCTATAATTCCTCTGTTGCTTTTGAAAAAAAATTGGCTTTTGTTCAGTTTAAACACCAAGTACAAATGATTTTATATTTTGTCTGTTTTTCTGTGATATAATTTGAGTGGTATGAACAGTTCAAATTGTTCTTTTTAAAACATTTTCTGCATTTCTGTCAGCGCTGTGGTTTTACACGGCTTGTTATACTTGTGAAAGCAGTGAATTTAGATTTTATCGACTGCTCAGAAATGTAATCCCAGTCAAAGATTTCCATTTTACAAGATAGAGCAGTGTAGCGTTGACACATTTATCATTGCTGACACTTGTCTTTGTCACACGTCTTTTATCGTGGCTGCAGCTCCGAAGGTAGAGCAGGTTGGTTACTGATTGAAAGATTGGCAATTTGATCCCAGCCTCTCGCAGTCCGCCTGTCGAAGTATCCCTGGGCAAGATACTGAACCCCAAATTGCTCCCTAATGTGCCATGGGTGTGTGTGTGTGTGTGTGTGTGTGTGTGTGTTTAAGCTGAAAGCAGGTGGCACCTTGCACGGTAGCCTCGGCCACCAGTGTGTGAATGTGTGTGTGAATGTGACATGTAGTTTAAAACTAGTTTCTGAGAAAGAAGTAAATACTACAAAAGCTACATGTGTAGCACCTCCTGATTATCCATCTTTATTTACTGTCCTTGGTTCCTGTCGTCTCCCTCAGGTATCGGTGTGATCAGTCTGGAGAGGGCCTATCCTCTCACCCTTGGGTCCAACATCGGCACCACTGCCACAGCCCTGCTGGCAGCCCTGGCCAGTCCTGGGAACAAGCTAGCAGCTGCCATACAAGTAAGCCAGTGTTTCATACAACCAGCCATTTAAAAACTGCAGGAAAATGAGAAAAAAAAGAAAAGTAAAGGCACCATTACCACTACCCTCCCACTTTGAAGGCAAAATGTATTTTCATGAATATATTTTCCACTGATATGCCTCTCAGAGGGGAGGATGCACACAGACAGCGAGACAACACTAAGGGAGCCCCACAAATATAATTTTTCCCTACTCGAGCAAAAAACATGGGAGAATTATCTGCAGATGGTAGATTATGATAATGTTTGTATGTATATTTATGAACATGGGTTTATGCATAAATAGGCTGGAGGCAACTAAGTGGACGCCTCAGGGAAAACTGTTTGTTAGTCTTCTCGTTGACATGAAACTAAAAACATCTCATGTTACTGGTTTATAGAATTAATGATACATGATGACAAAATAGTTCATGTAGACTCTCTGAGGATGTACATACCAACACACACTGACTGTTACTTGCATCCTGCAGCACTCACACAGTTTCTCTCTCCTTTCTTTGCCTGCAGATTGCTCTGTGTCACCTCTTCTTCAACGTCCTTGGCATTCTGCTGTGGTATCCTCTTCCTGTCACGCGCCTGCCGATAAGGATGGCTCGAGTCCTGGGTGAGCGCACTGCCAAGTATCGCTGGTTTGCAGTCTTGTACCTTCTCCTCTGCTTCTTGCTCCTGCCCTCGCTTGTGCTGGGCCTCTCGCTGGCAGGCTGGAGGGTGATGGCAGGTGTTGGGGCTCCTTTCCTTGGTGTGACCGTCTTCATCGCCATGGTAAATGTGATGCAGACTCGTAGTCCTCACCACCTGCCTACTAAGCTCCAGAGCTGGGACTTCCTGCCCCAGTGGATGCGCTCTCTCAAACCGCTCGACCGCCTCATCACCAAGGGGACTGCATGCTGCGGTTCTGCATGTAAAGTGGGGCAGGGAGAAGAAGAGGAGCATATATCGACACAGACGACATCTGATGACATGCAGAAAGAGTCGGCACAGAGGAAGGCACAGCTGGCTTATGACAACCTGGTCCTGGACTACCTGGACGAGATCAGACCAGGTGTAAGGGTACTTAAATTAAAAGGGTTAGAGAGGTGCAACAGCACTCCACTGTAGTCAGAGTGACAACTTTTATGCTGAATTTTTTGTCAACATCATAATTTGGAAATTAAGCCAGTTTTTATCATTAATTAATAATTGGAAGACAGCCTGCCAAAGGCAGGTTAAATATCATGAGTGCAGCATGAAATTTTCATCCATGTTTGATTTTCGTCCAACTGAGCAAGCTCTGCCTATTGATGAAGATCATCTGATATGATAAAAAGCCCCCAAAACAGTTACTGTATGCACCTTGAGTTAACTTGTCACTTGTTGTCAAGATCAAGAATGAACTTTGAAATTCAGTTGATGATGAACTGCAAACAGATTATGAGTCTGTAACTGCATTAAAGGTACCTTGAGGAGCTTTTGACCACTAGTGGTGCTATGGAGCAATGTTTTTATGAGTCATTGCCTATTCTGTGTGTGCACAGGTATGAACAAGCATACATTCTGCGTTTGGTTTCCTGCCATTTCACTGATTTGCCAAAAAATGTAGCAATGCACCAACAAAGGCAATGAAGAAGAAGAAGAAGGCCAGCAGTTGTAGTGAGAAGCGCAAAATGTAAACTTAACTAGCCAACAACATTTCTTGCAGCAAATGTGTAAAATGGGTTTATATTAAATAAGTACTGCTGGAAAGATGGTCTTGGCATAAAACTAGGCTGTCTATGCAGTAGAAAGGTGCAAATACTTTTGAAATTGGTGCTAAATGACCAGAGAAAACAGGAAAAAGGGCTGTGGAATTTGCTTTTGCTCCTGAGGTATAAAACCTACATCTCCCAGAATGCACTGTGCATTACCTGACCAATAAATGCTCCCACTGGTGGATGATAAAATGCAGGCTTGAAACATAGGTGCAGACACATTCCCTTTGTAGCGTACATGCATGCGCGCAGATGGCACTGGGGACGGGGTGTCCCCCCCAGATTTATAGTGACCCCGATCCGTCCCCCCCACTGTCACCCCCACACATAGGTAAAAAAGAGGATCAGTGTTCTGTTAGTTAGGCTAACTTACATTGCAGCACAAAGTTGAAATGGCAGCAGCCTTGTCAGTGATCAATCCATATTACACCGATTCAAGAAGGGGAAAGGCTGGAGCAGATCCTTGCTGAGTTGGGAAAGCAAGGTGTTCAATTTTCCACGTAATTCTCGGTTAATAAGACTGCACAGCTGATCCATTGATAGCCCCGTGTTTGTGCTACGACTAATGGTTCGTTCAGTTGTACTCGTAAGTCGGAGTTTTGAAGTCGGAAAAGCATTGAAATCTAGCATCTACAAGCATAAACGTTGGGGTTTTCGTTTCATTTCATTAACTGTCAATTTTTTTTTCGAATTCCATGTTCCATGTCCCAGTTTTTAAACTGGGAAGTGCTCAGTTTGGAGGTTACATTGTTCAGAGCTCCAAGTTCCGACTTCCAATGTAGGTGTAACGCACCATAAGGCACGATTCTCGACCCCGGGGTCCTAAGAGGAGCTGGTAGCTGTGCCTGTGCCTGTAGCGGTAACCACAGTGATCATATACAACTTTCTAATGACCGAGCTGGTGATTTTTCTGCCACATGAAGTCAGAGAAGAAAGAAAAATAATCACAGCGTTTTTTTTTCAAGAACCAAAAGATGTAAATATCCTATGCCTGTTGCCTGTTGACTTTCCCAGATGTGGCAAATATTCGTTTTGTAATGTTGAGTAGCTAGTCTGACAATAATAAGAAGGCATTTGGACTTACCTGAAGTAGGCTAAATGTAAAATAACAGCATTCTAGGCTGTAGGTGAATATCTTTAATGTTGTTATTTTTATGTATAATGTTATTTTAGTAAGCAGCAAGTTAACTGAAATTTCATTTCATATTTCATGCTATGTAGGCTTTACTTATTTTTATTTATGTGAATCTGTTGTTTAAGTGTTTATACTTCCGTTTTCATACACATTGTTATGTTTATAATCATTTACATGAAGGCACGAGTGTGAATCATTTCAGTTTTATTTTATTATTAATTTTTGCACATAGATTCTTTGCTTTTTTTCTCAGAATACAGTTAAAGTTTCTGTGCTGAGATTCTTCATCCTGTTGAGATCAGCAAATGTTTAAATAAAACCCCATCTGCGCCCCTGCGTACATGACACGCCCCTACAAATCACACCCACCACTAGTACAAGACAAACCCACCAAAGCAAGGGCTATCTGAACCCTGCTACAATGCTACACTGTAGTGAAAAAATGAGACCAAATGTTGCAGTAACATAAAACATGAAGATGTGATTCATTTTATAAGTAACGAGATGCAACCCTTCCCATTACCCTTATCTTAACCTTAACGCCTCTCTTTTAATGTAATACTTCATAATGAGCTAAGTGCTGATTTAGCATTAGCATAAGTAACAAAATGTGACCTTCCCATTACCCTTATCCTAACCTTAACACCCCTCATTTAACGCAACACCTCATAGCTAGCTAATCGCTAACTTAGAAATTTTGTTGGGACTTCCCCTTCTGGTCCAAGAAGCGAAGAGGGCTGATCATGGACTATCCTGTCGGTTAAAGTGAGCGAGTCATGTAGCAGGGCAAGTCACGGAGCTGCAATAACAATATGGCAGCTAGCTGGTAACAAACAATTTTGAGTTACAGTTAAATGGTTGACCAAAACATGTTTCTAAAAACCTTTTTGGCGAGAAACAGGCAATACAGTTGCAGAGTATTAGTTCATGCTTAGTTTTAACATTTGATCTCAGTAGCCTATTATCAGCCTCTGTTTTTACATTACAGGAAACAGTATGGTGCCACCTTTGTAATCACAAATGCTGGTATTGTAGCCAAAATGTGGAGTTAAAGGGAAATTTCGGTTTATTCCAACCTGTATCCGATCATCCTAAATTTGTTTCAAGTGACTAGAGATTTCAGGCACGGTATGAGATCGCTGCTTGTTCTCGGGACATTTCGGCCGCGCTTTGGAAAGCAGAGCTAGAGGGATAAACAAACATGGCAACACACCGGTAAGGTAAGACAACACGTTTACATGTCGTTTTCTATATGTTTTCTGACATTTATCCTAACGATATGAGGCGGTCTTTGTGGAAAAAAGCTTGTTTAGTGGACTAACTTTGCACTTGAAGTATGCTCGTTCACTTACGTTTTAACAGGTCTGACGCTACTATGCGCCCCAGCTGTATCTAGGCTAATGGCTAACATGCTAACTATTATTTTTATGTCACTAGTCACTTGAAACAAATTTAGGACGATAGGAGACAGGTTGAAATAAACCGAAATTTCCCTTTAAGACATTTTAGGCGAGAAATAGGCAACACAGTAACAGAATCTTGGTTCATATTTGATCAGCACTTTACAGTTGACCAGAGATGGATGGGGTCTCTCTTGATCCCCTTCTGTACTGCTCGTGTCCGTTGTGGTGGGAATATGAAAATGTATACTTCAGGCAACAGCTCTAGAGCCAGCAAAAATCTGCTGATAATGAGAAACATGTCAGAAGGAAGGGAAACAAGCGCTGCTGTTAGCCCACAGTCTAATGATAAAACAGTGTTATTACCGGGTGGGTAAATGTTTGATCATTATGTTAAAATAACATGTACTTACTTGTTACATAAGTGTTGGTGGGCGACTGAACACAGACACTACAAAGGATTCAAGCAATGATCATATTAGCTTCTTGATGTTATCTACAAAACAGTGTATGAATGTGCTGTAGCTTATGTGTGCGAGCACTGTTATGTTTAAGTGGGAGACTATGCAGACTCAGGAGGTGTTGTTGAATGTGTGAATATGTGCTGTGTTCTGTGTTGCATTGTGGCAAATGATCATGTGTTTAAGAAATGTTGCCTCCCTGAAGTCTTTGATTTAATGAGAGAATAAAGTCTGGCTCTTTCACTTTTAAGGTGACAGACTTTGAAGAGTGCTTTGCAAACAGGATGAAAGTACACATTAAATAAATAACTTCTCTGTCTTTGCTGGTAAAATTGCAGCTTGGTGTTGGGAACTGCCAAAAAGAGAGATTTCATTCATTCTTATGTGTCTTACTTGAAAGAACTTTCATTTTTTTTTTGCCCATTCAAGGACCTCACTAATCTGCAAGTGTACACTCCAGCCATTTTTTTGTTTCAACAAAAGCAGCTTCGTCTCATCATACTCCTCTGATCCTGCCATGCTCTTTAAAGTTTTTGGGTTTTAAATGAGATGCAGCCATCTCCTACACCAGACATGGCAGTCTGGACGGAGTTTGCATCACCCTGCTGAGTCCAATGTGAATCCCCGGAGGCATTTGAGAGCAGTCTGAGAAGGAAGGGGAGCCAGAAACAAGAAGCCACCATGACACTTACCCCTGCACACACTCACAAAAATACACGTTACACAGCACCACTCTTATCTCCGAATGAGAGCTGATCTGAGTGCTGATTATCTGCAGTGTGGGATTGAGCAGGGGGAACTGCAGTTTGGATCAGTGGTGGAGTCCAGCAGGGTCGGGTTAGAGTCCTGCCAGGCCTTCGCATCCAGGGATTCGCAGTGAGGACCTGCCAGAGCTTTCTGGCGTTATCACTGTTTTTCAGCCTGGCAGATTAACACTGATTGACATGTATATGCTCCTGAGTTATCCCTTTTTTTCGCTTATCTAAAATCTGCAAAAAATGTTCTATCTATGACTGTTTGCATTTCTGTGTAATGTGATTATTGTGATCCCATTATGTGGAATCTTTTACCAACCATGGACTGTGAAAAAATAATGGATGTAGCCACTGTGATGTCACCCACTGGTTTGTGGACTCCAGTTTTGAAGCCTTGAGTTTGGCATTTCAGCTGTCAACATCTTGGATTTTTGGAGCCAGAGGTAACAATACTTGGATGAGAGGATGGTACTGTTGAGGAGCGAAGGGTGGCTCTGACTGAGAAGCCAAGGACACTTTCAGGTTGCTGCTTGGTTTTTACTCATCCCTCTCATCTAGAGACCACCTTGGGATGGGATCACTCCAGTCGCAATACAGTTATTGTCTTTAAAAATACACTCACCAGCCACTTTATTAGGTACACCTTGCTAGTACCAGGTTTGATCCCCTTCTGCCTTTAGAACTGCCTTGATTCTTTATGGCAACAAGGTGTTGGAAACATTCCTCCTCCTCTGCTGCACATCCATGATGTGAATCTCCCGTTCCACCACATCCCAAAGGTGCTCTATTGGATTGAGATCTGGTGACTGTGGAGGCCATTGGAGTACAGTGAACTCATTGTCATGTTCAAGAAACCAGTTTGAGATGATTTGAGCTTTGTGACATGGTGCGTTATCCTGCTGGAAGTAGCCATCAGCAGATGGGTACACTGTGGTCATAAAGGGATGGACACGGTCAGCAACAATACTCAGGT